CAAGGATGAAGACTTCCCAAGCCTCTGCGCCTCCACCTCCTCCTCGTCGAGCTCCGCTGCGGCAGCCCTGGGCCCCTCGGGGCTCGCACTGGCCTACCCGGTCCCTGCCAGGGGCAGGAGCGCCTTCCAGGAAGATGACTTCCCCGCCCTGGTGTCCGCCTCCAAGCCCAGCACTGCCCCCACCAGCCTCATCTCTGCCTGGAACAGCAGTGGCAACAAGAAGGTGGTGCATTCCAGTGTGGGGGCCCAGGCTGCTGGCGGGAGCACCCAGCCCCCCAGGAAGGCTGGCAAGGGGGCCAAGGGCGGCAGGAAGGGCGGGCTGGTGCCCTCCGAGGAGGAGGAGGAGGATGGCCGCAGCGGCCTCACGGCCCAGGAGCTGCGGAGCGTCCCCACCACGGTCGCCGTGTCCTCCCTGCTGGCACTGGCCCCTACCCAGACCGTCACCAAGGTCGGCAAGAAGAAAAAGGTGGGCTCAGAGAAGCCAGGGGCCACGTCACCACCCCCGCTGCTCCCCGACAGAGATGGGCCTCTGGGGGCTGAGCAGGCCCCCGCTACGACCACCGGCCGAGCCGAGGGGCCCGTTGCCCTCATCGTCAATGGACACACGGAAGGGCCCGCGCCAGCTCGCAGCACGCCCAAGGAGCCTCCTGGGCTCCCGCGGCCCCTGGGGCCCCTCCCCTGCCCCCCAGCCCAGGAGGACTTCCCAGCCCTCGGGGTGCCCTGCCCCCCCAGGATGCCCCCTCCCCCAGGTACGTGTGTCTGGCTCTGGCCTGCTCCTGGGCATCTGGGAGGGGGCGCTCCCTCGGGCTGTGCTGGGGGGCAGTCCCCGGCCAGCAGGCAGCGAGAGGGCCACTGCATGGTGGATCAGCTGCCTTGGAAGCCTGGTGGCACCGCTAGGAGCCGCCCACTGACCCTCCATGTCTCTTGGCCCCCTGTGAAATGGGGCGATCCCAGTGCCTTCTGGAGGCGGGGGAGTGAGTCACCCTAGGCCAGGATTGCTGTCAGGGAGCACGTGCTGGCTTCTGGCCTCCTGAGGCCCTGGGCCAAGGTGCGGCGGAGGTGTGGCTTGTGGATGAAGCCTGGGGAGCAGTAGGTGGGAGGTGGGAGCCAGAGGGCCGGCCCTGCTCAGCCAGCAAGACTCACGCCCGGTGTCGCTGTGCCGTCCCCTGCAGGCTTCAACGCTGTGGTGCTCCTGAAGGGCACTCCACCCCTGCCTCCCCCTGGCCTGGTGCCCCCGGTCAGCAAGCCACCCCCTGGCTTTTCGGGCCTCCTGCCTAGCCCCCACCCGGCCTGTGTCCCCAGCACTGCCACCACCACGAAAGCGTAAGTGTGGGTGGGCCGCCCAGCCCCGTGCCCCGGAGGCCAGGGAGTGCCCTCACCTGGGGCCACCCCAAAGCCGTAAGCCTTCACTTCCTCCCCATCTCCCAACCCCCAGGCCCAGGCTGACACCTGTGCCACAGGCCTACCTGGTGCCCGAGAACTTCCGGGAGAGGAACCTGCAGCTCATCCAGTCCATCAAGGACTTCCTGCAGAGTGACGAGGCCCGCTTTGGCCAGTTCAAGAGCCACTCGGGGGAGTTCCGACAGGTCAGCCAGGCAGGGGTGTGGGGGGGCCGGTGTGGCCACCGTGGGGGCTCGGGCCTGGCCTGGGCATGACTGGCTTTGGCTCTGGGTGGCAGGGCGTGATCTCTGCAGCCCAGTACTACAAGAGCTGCCGCGACCTGCTTGGGGAGAACTTCCAGAAGATTTTCAACGAGCTGCTGGTGCTTCTGCCTGACACGGCCAAGCAGCAGGAGCTGCTCTCCGCACACACGCACTTCCGAGGCCGGGAGAGGCCTCCGGGCACCAAGGCCAAGAAGAGCAAGAAGAGCGCATGGCAGGCTGGCCCCCGGGGGGTGGGCCTGGACTGCTGTGTGTGCCCCACCTGCCAGCAGGTGCTCACACACGGTGACGTCAGCAGCCACCAGGCCCTGCACGCCGCCCAGGACAACGACTTCCCCTCCCTGCAAGCCATTGCCAGGATCCTCACGTAGCTGCTGCCAGCATGGGCAGGAGCTGCCACACCCACGAGCCTCCTTCCTCCTTCCTCCTTCCGGGCTGCCATGCAGCCAGGTGAGGCCGCCTGTCGAGGCCCCTCAGCCAGCCCGCCCACCGGGGGTCGCCAGGAGGGCCCACCCTGTCCTGTTGGCACGCCGCCGCGTAGGAGTGCATCCGCTTTCCTCCTGGGAACGGGGCAAAGACCTCTGCCTCAGTGGTGGGCTGGGCTTGGTTTGTATTCTCATGCTTTTGGAAGGTGCGAGGGGAGGGAAGGGCCGGGATGCGGGAACCTGTCCGTGCCCGTCAGAGCCGGTAGCGACAGCGGCCCTCTCCAGGCCCAGAGCCGAGGCAGCAGCACCGCGGCCCCCGAGCCAGAAGCTGCAGGCCCACCAGTTCTGGCGTCAGATGTTGAGGGTGTTGTGTAAACAGTTGGCTGTTTTCGTGATTCAAGAACGTTCAGGATTAAAAGCAGACACAAAATTGTGCTACTTGAAGTTGAATCTTTGTATGAGACAAACAATCTGCGATCTCAAATTGCCTCTGACCTTTTATAAGACCGTGTATCTTCAAATAAATTTATTTTGCAATAATGCACAGAGCTGGTGTTCTGAGCCTCTCTGCCCTCCCAGGTCGCCCTGTAGCCCGGAAGACTCGGCGCTGTGAAGACGCTCCGGCTCTGGTGGGCAGCCAGGGCCAGCAGGGGTGGGGGACGAGGCATGCGCAGAGCTGGCAGCTGGGCTCTGCCCTCAGGAAGCGGCAGCAGGCCTGGGCCCGGGGCCCGGTCCTGGAGATCTGGTGCTGCCTGGGCCTTCCAGGAATAGACACAGCCATGTCTGCCCTGTGCTCGTGTCCCCAGTAAAAGCCTCCTTCCAGGACGTGGGAGCCCCCAGACTCAAGGTTTGCATCCACAGATCAGTAAAGAGCTCTCACAGGTAAGAGCACTTCATAAGCAGTGGAACGAGCACGTGAAATTCTGCAGGAAATAACGGGTGCTTAATTATTTGGACTCGGTATTCTGAAAGGGGACCAGAGAAATCACTGCTTTCTGCCCTAAACACACATAAACCGTAAAAAACAGTTCTAGACACAGTTCTAGCCACATCCAAATAAGGCAAAGGAAATGTCCTTACATGAGAAGAAACATGTCTTCGCACGTGAGGAAGGGGGGACCCACGATGATGAGGGGCCGGTGGTGTGTGGTGCTGCCTGCCTGTGCGTGGGACCGCAGCGGTCCTCGTGGGTGATGGTGGGTGATGGCCGGGCTTGGCCCAACCGCACACGAGAGCCTTCACCCTCCTCACCCTCCACTGGGCCGGGTAGAGCCACTTGCCTTCCCTGGGTCACCAGTGGCCCCTGCAGCTGTCCCCCTGCCTTTGCAGACCCGAGGACAGCCAGCCCCACAGAAGACTAATCGGGAGAATGGGGTATGTCCTTCACCACATTGAAAACGAGCTCTTCTTAATGAAGCAAGGACCACAGTTGCACGAGGCAGCACTGAAGCGGTGCCTGCTGTGTGCCAGCCCTGCTCGGGGCTGCCCGTGTGCCGGCCCGGCTCCTCCGCCCACCCCCGTGACTGGAACTACAGAAGAGGGGCCTGGGGCACAGACAAATTGGAACATTTCCCCAAGACAGCCCTGCCTGAATGTGGCAAAGCCAGCATTCCAGCCCCAGGGATGCTTCTCAGGCCGCTTGCCCTCAGCCAGGATGTTATTAACTAGTTAGAAATCTTAGAAATGAGCAAATAACTGATCAAAAAAACAACCCAGTAGCTGGGTTCAAAAGCAAGCAAGACGAAGCTGGGGAAATCTCCAGAGGCTGAGTTAGCTGGCTGAGGAATGCGGCTCTGGAAGCTGCACGGAGCACATGCTGGGGTCCCAGAACAGAAGGTGGTGATGTGGGGAGAAATGACCGCTTTTCCACGCAATGGAGAAAGAAAACTGAACACACACTGGGCACCTGGTGCGCTGTGTCGGAGGAAGGTGTGCCTCTTGATCACAGACTGGGTTGTGAATTCAAGCCCCACATTGAATGTGGAGATTACTTAAAAATGGTTGTTCGGGAACATCTGGGTGGCTCAGTGGTTGAGCACCTGCCTTTGGTTTAGAGTGTGATCCCGGGGTCTGGAATTGAGTCCCACATCGGGCTCCCTGCAGGAACCTGCTTCTCCGTCTGCCTGTGTTTTGCCTCTCTGTCTCTCATGAATAAATAAAATCTTAAACGGTTGTTCCAAAAAAGAAAAAAAAAACACTAGGATAATTCTTTGAAAAGCCACATCTCGACAGAACACAACTCAGGAAAAAAAAAAACCTTAATACATTTTACCAAAGAGAAAAAGCAGATAGCCTACGGAGGAATACAAACAGTAATGGTTGGGATCCCTGGGTGGCGCAGCGGTTTGGCGCCTGCCTTTGGCTCAGGGCGCAATCCTGGAGACCCGGGATCGAATTCCATATCGGGCTCCCGGTGCATGGAGCCTGCTTCTCCCTCTGCCTGTGTCTCTGCCTCTCACTCTCTCTCTCTCTGTGTGTGACTATCATAAATAAATAAATTAAAAAAAATTAAAACAAACAGTAATGGTCAACAGTACAGGATCTTAAAGGAGCATGCTGGAATCCTTTCAAAGCTGTAAGCAACAGGACTTCACATTTATGTTCCCAATAAAACTATCCTTGAAGAATGTGGGATGAAGCTCAACCGGTGGACTGAGGAAGGAGCCGAGACATGTGCCGCAACAGGAAATAATCCTCCTGCTGTTCTCAACAGGAGAGACGGGCGTCTCCCCCAGCATTTCAGAGAGTCCACTCTGAGCTGTCCAGTGGCACAGCAGGGGGATGTGTGGTGGGGGCCTCAGGGACCCTCAGAAGAAGGGCATCAGCCCAGCCTCCACCTGCTGCCCCTTCCTGGGTTCTGGGCACCCACGGGGGCAAAGGTAGAAACAACTCTGCAAGCAGTGTCTGTGCCAGGTAAACTCACTTACAGTCTTTTATTGTAAAGAAGTTGCAGTTGAAACATGGGACACTGAAGATACACAATCACGGATTGCTCTTTCAGAAGAGGGAGAGAAAGATCCATATATACAAAAATTGTAAACATGTTCACTTAAATACCCACACAGAATTGATCTATGCTACAATGTACAGGGTTGTCACCCAACTGCAACTCCACAGGGAGGTGCCTGTCTGCGAGAATGGAAGGTGGCAACCGCATTTGGTATTGACAGAATGTGAAAAGCCAGCTTTGAGCAATGCATGAGTAGTCAGCTATACAGAGGGACCCCAACCTCAGGCTGCACCTTAAAACGGAGTGCAGGGCAGGGTGCTGAGGGGCTGGTCCAGGAAGCCAAGGGAAAAAGGGATTGCACAGATGGGCCATGTCCAGGGCATGGTGGGCATGTGCAACCTCAGGCCTCCTTCCTTGTGAGGGGCCTGTTTTGCCAGGCCCCCAGGTGTCCTAAGCCTCCCTTGGACAAGACCTTCTTGCTGGGGTGGAGAGGGCTGGTGCCCAGGCCTGTATGCAGCCATGTTGTGCCTTCCTAGCCAAAAGTGCCCACACCCGGGCAGGCTCCTGGGCCTAGGCAAGTCAGGACAGGAGCAGGGGCCACGGACAGCGGGGCTGCTTGCAGGGAACTATGAGGTGAAGCCCGAAGACCTGACCACAATCACAACATCAACGGGACCAGGCTACTCTAGTGAGCCTGTGACAGCAAACGCTTGGAGGCTCTGGACAGTGTGCACACAGCCCCACGGGGTGAACCGCCACAACATGAGCAGGGACGGTCACGGCCCTGGGGGACATGGGGTGGGAACAGTGCCGGTGCTCCCGGGGCCAGCCCCCACCCTAGCTACGGAGGGCAGCGAGACCCCTAACCCCAGGGTGGACAGGTGAGCCACAGGCTAGCTGGCTCACCAGGGAAACGGCCCCCTCCCAGGCTGATCCACTAGGCTGGAGGACACATGTCCAGGGTTGCACATCCCGACCTCAGGCCTGGGGTCAGCGACTAAAGGGACAGGGGGAACATGGGGTGGGGGGCAGCCTAGGCACCCTGGGGGCTACCCTCTCTTGGCCCCAGACGGCCCTCAGTGGCGCCACCCTCTCTGTCCCTGGCGCTAGGCCAGGAGGACCTGAGGGGGGTCCCGGGAAACCCTGGACCCTGGCTTGGTGGCAGCCGTGGAACCCTGGTGGGGGCCTGCCGGCCACTAGTAGGCAGGCACCTGGTACCCCTTGGGGCTGGTGTCCAGAGTCTCGGTGAAGGGAGGGCTCTGGTAGGTCTCCGTCCCCTCCACGCCGCTGCCCACCGGGTAGCCGGGGTAGGCTTGACCCGCCCCGGTGCCCAGCTGCTCCGTGGCAAAGAGTGACATGTCCGTGCCCAGGCGGAACCGCTGCAGGGCCTTCACAGTGAGCGCCACCTGATGGGGAGCCCGGGTCAGCCAGCACCGACCCCGCCCACCCCGCCCCGGCCCGGCCCCGCGGCCGCACTCACCCAGCTGAGGATGGAGAAGAAGCTGAAGGCGATGGCGGCCCGCGCCGCGTCTCCCGCCTGCAGCGTGCTGGGCCCGGGCGCCGTGCGCTGCCACTGGTTGGTGAGGAAGCAGAAGCCCACGAACCACAGGAAGGACCAGAGCCCTGCGGGCAGGCGGGGGTCAGGGGAGCCCGCGCCGAGGCTCCGCCCCGGACCACGGCCCCGCGCAAGCCCCGCCCACCGCCGGCCACGCCCCCACACGCTCAGCAAGCCCCGCCCCTCCCCGCCCCCCTCGCTCGGCAAAGCGCTGCCCCCACGGAGCCCAGAAACCCCGCCCACCGCCGGCCACGCCTCCACACGCACAGCAAAGCCCCGCCCCTCCCCCCGCGCGGCAAAGCCCCGCCCCCGCGGAGCCCAGAAAACCCGCCCACCGCAGGCCACGCCTCCACACGCGCGGCAAGCCCCGCCCCGCCCACCTGAGAAGCCCAGGTCAAGCAGCACCGCGCGGCGGCGGTCGCGGACGCTGCTGATCTGCTGGAAGCGCACGTCGAGCAGGAGGAAGGCGGCGCAGGCAAGGAAAGCCCCGAGGCCGAGCGCGACGCCGAAGCGGCAGGCGCCCGCGTTCCCGTTGAAGACGCAGCGCAGCTCGGGCCCGCTGTCGGTGTTCACGTAGCCCTCGTTGACGATGGGCCCAAAGACGGCGATGGAGAACACCTGCGGGCGGCGGGCGGCGCTCAGGGCCCCGCGGGGGTCTCCTTCCCGCTGTCACCCACCGCGGTGCTCATGCCCTCCAGCCGGTCTCCACGTTACCGGCCGCGCGGGGCCCATCTGTGGACGGGGGCTTCGGGCACCCCTCCCTCAGTCCCTCCCCCGCGCATTTAAAAATTATGGACTGCATGTCCTATGGAGTATCTACTATGCCCAGCACTATGCTTAAAACCTCTTCTTTACCCGCATTCCTCGTAGAATCCTCCCCCAAACCACAAGGGCTCAGTGTGATCCCCTTTATGATGGGGAGGTGGGGTCCCAATTAGCGAAGTCATTTGGCTGATAAAAGACGGGGTTGACATTCAAACTGGGTCACTGGTCCTGTGCGGGGGCCCCTCCAGAAGTAGGAACACGCGGCTTCACCTGGACCAGTGATTCTAGGCTCCAGCGGGTGGCGCTGTGGGAGGAGGGGCGGAGAAGAGGGGGCCAGAGCACAGGGGGAGCAGAGCCAGCGCAGTGGCACAGCTGTCTCCCAGGCCCGGCACCGAACCCACCCCTAGCACCTGGGAGCTGTGGGGCCCTGCTTCCTAACATGCCAAGTACAATGCATGCAGTATTGGGGCCAGGAAAATAATGCCCACCCAGCACCCAAGGGATAACAGCCCAAGCGACTGAGTGTCGCACCATAAGTGTTTGGGCTCAGAGGGTGATACTGTTGGGGCACCTGGGTGGCTCAGTCAGTTGAGGGCCTGACTCATGATGTCGGATCAGGTCGTCATCCTGTGGGTCATGGGATCAAGCCCAGAGTAGGGCTCCGTGCTCAGCTCAGCTCAGCAGGGAGTCTGCTCAAAATTTTCACTCTCCCTCTGCCCTCCCCGCTCTCTTTCTCCCTCTCTAATAAATACATTAATTAATTAAAAAAAAAAAGAAAGGTGATACTGTTGACCTCCGGGGTTCAGTCACCTTCAGCATCCCCTTACCACAAGGGGTGGAAGGCAGGTAAATGGTGCAACACAGTCACTTTACACTTTATTTATTTTTTTTTAAAGTAGGCTCCGTGCCCAATGTGGGGCTTGAACTCATGACCCTGAGTCCCGTGCTCGAAAGACTGAGCCAACCAGGCGCTTCTGGACCACAATCATTTTAAACCAGATGCTGCTCCTTCAACTCTGGGCAGCCCCGTGTTTCTAAAAAAAGACCTCCAGTTTCAATTTCATTTCTCTCCTCTCCCTCTCCAGCTCCTTGAGATGGTGTCAGAGGGAAGCCCAGGTGCAGGGCATGGACATGTCCGCCCAGAGTGGTCCACAGGTCGGAGCGGAGCTGGCACCAGAACACAGGGTTCCTACTTCCTAATCGCCCCACCCTGGGCATCTCTCTCCTGAAGACCAGGGAGTAGGTCCCGCGGACACCAATAAAACCCAGACTCCGTCACCCACCTCCTCTCCTGCCTGGAGAGGGGGGAAGGAGGAGCTGTCCACCTGGCCTAGGGATGCCCCAGTCGTCTGGGCTGTCCCCAAATCTGGCCCTCCCGCACCTCCCCCAGGCAGCCCTCCCAGTGCAGAGCCCCTTCTTGCTGCCCCGCCCAGGGGATCCCAGGGCACCCCCAACCCCCAAACACAACTGCAACTGGAAGGCCTGGGAAAGGGCCAGCTCCCTTGGAAGGAGCCTGGAGGACGTGTGTGCGGGAGAAGCCGGTGTAAGCGCCGCCCGCTCCCCTCGGCTCCCACGGCCCCTCCGCGTGCTGCGGCGCAGAGCTCGAGCCCACTCGCGTCCCCGCCCCTGTGTCCGCTTCCAGGTCGTGAGAACAGGAAAGACGCAGCGAGGCAGGGGGCTGCGTCAGACCTCGGGGGGACTGGAGGCGGGGGCGGCGGCCGGTGACCTCTCAAGGTCCCGGCGGGCGCCGTCGGCCCCCCCCTCCGCAGGTGGGCGCGCCCTGCCCGGTGACGTCACCCCAACCTGCGGCCGGCGGGGGAGGGGCCGGCGGGGACCTGGATGGGGGCGAGGATGGGGGCGAGGGGCGGCAGGGGCGAGGGGCGGCGGGGGCGAGGGGCGGCGGGGGCGAGGGGGGCGCGGCGGGGGCCGGGGCCACTCACCCAGGAGGCGACCCGCAGCAGGGTCTGGGGCCGCCGCGCGAAGCTCACGGGGTCCAGGGCGGCCCCCGCGCGGCCCGCGCCGAACGAGGCTCCCTCCATGGCCAGCCCAGGAGGGACGCGCGCCCCCGGCGCCCTCTGTCTGTCTGTCTGTCTGTCCGGCCCCGCCCGAGGCCGCCGGGTGCTGCCGGAGCCGCCGCTGTCGCCGCCGCTGCCGCCCGAGAGCGCGCGCCGACCGCGGCGGGGGCGCGCGGGGCGGGGCCGAGCCGGTGCCCCCCGCCCACTGGTCCGCGCGGCGCAGGGCCCGCCCCCCCCCACCTGCTGGAGCGGGGCTGAGCCCGCGGCCCCGTCGCCCCCCGCCTGCACCGCCCCCCCCCCCCCCGGGCCCCTGCGCTCCGCCCCGCTACAGCCCCGGGACCCCGACCGGCCCGCCCCGCCCCTCCGCGCCGGGCCCTCCGCGGAGCGAACGGGTGACGGAGCCGCACCGCCACCCTCGGGGGACGGGAACCCGACTCCCTCGGACCGGAGAGCGGCTACTGGGCCCTTCCCTGTGACCCCCCTCCGTGCCGCCGGCCTCTCCTGCAGAGGGTTCTAGCCTCCCTGACAGGGCGGGGAAGGCCTCTGCCCCCCAGCCCCCCAGGCCCTTGTCCCGGAGGCCTGGGCCCGCAGACCAGCATGGGGGGGTAGGGACATCTCTGCCGCTTACTCTCGGTCATTCCAAGGGCGCTCACTCAGCCTTCACACTCCGGGGTCTCCCCAGCGGACTTGTTTCCGGCCCGTTTGCTTTGGGGCCAGGGGTGGGAAGAAGCTGGAGAGATGATGTGGCGTTTGGCCAAGCTGGGGCCCCACTGAGTCTGTTCTGCAGATCCCCCAGCCCAAGTTAGAGGGTCCCTCCCTCGTGCTCCTTCCTGGCCAGCCTGGCAGAGTCCCGGATGACTGCTGTTTCTGTCCAGGGCATTGACAGAAAACTTTGCAATTGTTGGGAGTTTGCAGTGCCAGGCACTTCGCCACCCCCCCGTGGAAGGTAGGGATTGTTATTACCAGGTCTTCATTCCACGAATAGGCAGCTGGCCAAGTTCTTCCATCACACTGGGGAGTGAAGAGCTGGGACGGAAGGTGATGCCTGGTCCACCCCGTGAACCTGTCTCAGGGCAGGTGTGGCCAGAGGTGCCACTCCCGAGGCCAGGACACTGTGCATCCAGGCTGTCACCCTCGTCTGTTGGAATAGCTCCCAGCCTGTCCTCAGCAGCATCCACTGCCCCTTTAGTCCCAGGGGTAATTCTGTTGCTCCCACGCTCCTGGAAATGCTTCTGGAAGTCACCCTCTCTTCACGTCCCTATGTCACCGGCCCTTTCTCACTACCCTTTTGGGGTTCTCTCTTCTGGTCCAACCTGTGAGCTCCTGTAATCTCTAAACTTTGGAGGCCCCAGGGCATGATCCTGGGGCTTTTCTCCTTCCTCTTGGCGCACGCCCTTGGTCTGCATGCTGACAGCTTGAGCCAAAAACCTCATCTCAGACTACAGTCCCGCTTGACTTAGCCTGGATTGGGGGGGAAGGGGGAGGGCGGGTGAAACAACCAGAAAGCCAGAGTTAAGGGAAAGAGGGAAATGAGGGAGGGCAGGAGGGAAAGCATATCCAGGCGGTGTTCCTGGGCCAACCACAGCTTCCCTAGAGAAGCTGGCTGATTCTCCCACTAGCAAGTGACTTGGGAGAGACCAGAAGGCCACATGTTGGGCACAGTCCATCAAGAGAGGGTGGAGAGGAACAATTCTCTGCTGGCTGCTCCCTGCCTCCAATCTCTGCATCACTTCCTCCTCTGGGAAGGCCCTGCTGAAGTCAGAACCGCTGCGGCACCAGTTGGGTGAAGGTGCCAAGGAACCGTCGATGGGGCATACGTACAGTTGCTGGGCCATTCCGGCTGGGAGCCCAGCCTGGGAACAGGTGTGGCTGAGCAGATCTGGGAAGGCCCAAAAGCTGGAGGCAGGTCAGCCCTATGCCCACTCCACCTACAGCGTTCTCCAGGGGACGGAGAGCATCCTCCTGCTACTAGGGCCTGAACCCCATGGTCAACTCTGGCTTCTTTCTCTTGGCAGCTCTGCTCTGACCCACCCTGGGGCAAGCTCCCCACTCAGCTGCCACAGGGTGCCTGCTCTCCCTGCTCTCACCCATTCCTGCCTCATCCTAGCTCAGGAGCCAGAGGAACCTGCCAGAAGTCATTTTTTTTTTTTTTTTTAAGATTGTATTTATTCACGAGAGACACAGAGAGAGGCAGAGACACAGGCAGAGGGAGAAACAGGCTCCCTGAAAGGAGCCCGATACGGGACTTGATCCCAGGACCCTGGGATCATGCCCTGGACCAAAGGGAGGCGCTCAACCGCTGAGCCCCCCAGGTGTCCCTCCCGGAAGTCATCTTGCCATTCCTTTACTCCAAATCCTCCACGACTTTCCTGCCACAGGAGGTAGGTATTAAAACAAAGTCCTTGTGGGTCACTTGAAGACTATGTACCATCTGACCTCCCACTCACCTCTGACCCTCCCTTAGCTCCAGCACTCGGCTTCCTTGCTGTTCCTGGGACTTCCCAGGTTGCCTCTGCACTGGGACCTTGCCCTCCTCCTATGGAGCAGAACTTGGAAGCCGTTGCCTGGAGCAGCAAGGGCAAGCCCTGTCCACCTCCGCAAGTTTGACACAAAACACACCGAAGCCACGCCCTCGGCCACTCCTCCATCATTTTATTTTGGTTTCAAGCTCTGAGATTGGTCCCACAAAGCCTCTTGACAGGCCTGGTACAGGTATGTGCTGGATGGGAGGCGGGCAGCAGCGTTGGTGGACCGTCAGAGAAGCAGCCTGCCTGTGCTTTCCTTGTAGACACCGAGCAGGGAGGAGAGCTCAACCCCCAGACCTCTTTTCTGAACTGCAAACAGCACACAGCCTATAGAGTTACAGTCACTGCAGCCGGCCCTTGCTACACGGTCATGGCTGGGAGACAATGGCCTACATCAAGGAGCAGGACAGGGAGCCCTAGCAGGCCTGTCACATTCCTGTGTAGAGAAGCGGGCACCGGGGTGTGGGGTGAGCAGGACACCACATCCCAAACATAAGGCACAGCCTGGGCTGCTCCCTCTCGTTCACCTACAGCCGCGCGGGGCCTTGGCTGAGGAAGGGCCGTCGAGGTGTCTGCAGCAGGCACCGCTGCTCTGACTACAAACCTAAGAGGAAAGGGCCCCACGAGCAGTCTCTGGGGACGATCCAACTGAGACACAACAGGCTCTGGCTCTGATGCACTTTAATGAGTGCCCCATCCCCCTCTGGCCAGGCTGCCCGCAGGCCCGGGCTGCTGTCCCACAGCTCTGCCAGCCACTATCTAGTCACAGGAGCCATCCTTCCAGCCATCGCGCCAGCGCTCGTCCACTTGTGAGCAGTCGAAGTCCGGTTTGCCTAGTTTGCGGTTCACTTCATTGTGCAGGCGGCACAGCCACTGGGTCAAGCAGGCCCGAGTGCGCGTGTCCGGCTGGTTCCTGCATATCCTGTGTAAGGGAAGCATGTGACGATGGGGACAGGCAGTGGCCCCACTGCCCCTACCCCATCAGCTCCTTGCCTGCTGGATCCAGGGAGGAGAGCTTGGGTATTGCTGCCAGCTACACCCATGAGCCCCCTCATGCTCTGAGAGGTAGGCATGCCCCGAACAGGCCTGATCCTGCTCTGTCCACCACTGGCCCACTCCTAGGCCTGCTCAACCCCTTATCTATGGAACTCGGCGAACCCAAGACATTAAGGCACTCGTCATGCAACTTTACAACCTCATGCAACTTTACAACCTCATAACAATCAGGAAGCCTCACCCCAGCATCCCTGGCCCCGGGCAGTGTATGAAAGGGGTGGTGCCAGCACAAAGGCATAACTGGAAACCAGACCTGTTGCTAGCACCTGGGGCCCTTGGGCCTCAGCCTAGCAAGAGACCTGTTCTAACTGCCCAGGTTCAAATGGCAAGGGCTGCCCCAGGCCCCGCATCCAGGCCAGAAACACCTGTGGGTGCCAAATAACAGCTCTTGCGCTCCCCAGTGAAGGAAAGGTGGCTCCTGGGAGCAAAAGCAGTGGGTTCTCAAGCCTTACATGCAGCAGTCCTGCTATAGAAGTCAGGCAAAGTGGACTCATCCACCTGCCCGAGCCCCTAGGAGTTCCAAGCAGGGCCCTCTGTACATGAAGCCCCACCAGGAGCCTTCTGGCTGCGACAGCAGCAGTGCTCAGCAGCTGCCCTCAGCAGCAGCCCCAGGCAGCTGGGCCTCTGGGGAAAGGAGCCGGCTTAGCTGGCCCCTGCTCTGGGCAAGCCAAGCCGTGGCCACCGCTGCCCCTTTATGACATCAGCAGGGGCCCCAGGCTCCAGGTGGGACAGCTCCGCCGCCGACAGGCAAGGTAGACACACTCACCTCTTCCGGATGTCTTCGGCACACTCCTCGCACGGGTAAAACTTGGAAAATAAATGTATGAACTGGGTCATGTCTCGCTGCTGTTCTGGGGTGGGCAGATCGGGGTAGTAGGCGGCCAGGGTGTGCAGGACAGCCCAGCTGTGGCGGCCCAGTTCCTCGCGATCCTCAGGACAATCCTCCCTGAACTTGCCGTCCCGCTGCGGGCGGAGGCCGACCAAGGGTCAGGGCAGGTCTTGTCCGGGGCCCGACGCCCACGCGGCTCCCCCGCCCCGCCCGGGCGCGACCCCGGGGGCATCTGACCTTCTGCTGCGTCCGCATCCACGTCTTGAAGTCCACGCAGGCCCGGCAGGGCCGCCTCCGGGAAGGGTCCTCGGCGACCTGGGGCTCGGGGGTCGGCGCCGGGGCCGAGGCGGCGGCGGCCGCATCTCTCCGCCCCGCGCCCCGGCCGCGCGCGTCCGTTACCAGGTCGTCCATCACCTCCGAGTGCGCGCCGCCGGGCAGGAAGGAGAAGAGGCTCCCACCGCCGGAGCGGCTCCGCTCGCCGGGCGCCGCCATGTTGCCCGCGCAAGGCCTGCCGGGCCAGATGGGCCTCCAGAGGGGCCTCCAAGTCGGCCTCCAGGCCAGCGCGCGCGCCGCCGCCAGGGCGCGGCCACAGGAGCCGGGCAAGGGCGCAGGCGCAGGCGCGGAGGCCGGGCTGGAGCTGGGGACGGGGCTGGGGGCGGGGCCGGGAGCCGGAGGGGGGGCGGGGCCGGGGCCGGGGCTCGCGGAGCGCGCGGGAGAGGCGGCCGAGCCCGAGGCCGGGGTGCGGGCGGGCGCGGGCGCGGGGCTGGCGACCCGGGTCCTGGCAGGGCCCCCGGGCTTCGGTCCGCGTCCCGAGCCCGGCTTGCGTCGTCCGTGGCGGCGCTCCCGCTTCCTCCAGTAGAAGAGCAGCGTGTTGTGGAAGCCGCGCCGCGGCCGCGCCGTGGACTCCGGCTGCGGCCGGGGCGAAGTCCGTGTTGCGGCCCGGGACGCCCCCATCGCTCCGCTCCGACCGCCCCGCGTGCCCGTGGCCAGGCTCTGTGCCCTCGGCGGGGCGCGCCCTGCGGTCGGCCGACGGGCGCCTCGGCAACGCGGGGCGGCGCGGTGAGCGCACAGAGCGCGGCGCGCCGGGGGCCTGGGTCCCCCGGGTCGGCCCGGGCAACGGGCGCCATGGCTACGGGCGCCGGGGCCGCGGGGCGGGGCTCCCGGGGCTGCCTGGGGGCGCTGTCCACGTCCCTGTCGGGAGCGGCCTCAGCCTCCGCGCGCTCCTGCGTTACCTGCACCTGTCTGTGCGGCGTCTGCTCTGTTCCAAGTCCTGGCCCCGGCGCTGGGCAGGGCGGGGCCCGAGATCCGTCCCTGACCCCCCGGCTCACTGTCCAGTGGTCAGCGGGGAGAGTCGGGGCGCCCGGGAGGCTCAGCGGTTGAGCACCTGCCTTTGGCTCAGGGCGTGACCCTGGAGACCTAGGACTGAGTCCCACGTCGGGCTCTCCGCAGGGAGCCTGCTTCTCCCTCGGCCTGTGTCTCTGCCTCTCTCTGTGTGTCTCATGAATGAATAAATAAAATAAAATCTTAAAAAAAAAAAAAAGAAACAAGGGAGTCACAGTAACACGTCCACTGACAAGCTCTTGTGGGGACCACGAACAGGGAGTGGCTAATCCCGGAGGCCTCCTTGAGGAGTGACACTTAGGCAGAGGCCTGAAGGATGAGGACTCAGTGGAGGAAGGCCGTCAAGGCCAAGGCTGGAGGTGGGCATGGGCAGAAGCCAGTGGCACAGGACCTGGGGAAGGTGGTGGGAGGAGAGATCTAAAGGTGGGTGGGAGCACATGCAGGGCCTTGTCGCTGCCATGGGAGCTGGGAATTGAGCAGATTTCACAGGAGCTAGTGAGGAGCTCGGGCGGGGAAGGGGGGGCAGGTGTCCACGGGCCAGGTGAGGCTGGGGGCCCTGGAGAGGCACAGGAGGGAAAGGAGCCAGTGTTGCTGGGGGTGTGAACAGGGGCTGTTGGATGGGGTGGGGAGGGGGCCTCAGTGCCCTTCTAGAAGGCCCCAGCTTCTCTGTGTCTTCCAGGGGAGAAGTGTCTGCCCCCCCTGCAGCTGGCCGGGCCAGCCCCTCAGCATGGCCCCACGGAGGTTGGGGAGAGTGTGACAGCTGGGCTAAAGGCACCCTGCAATTGAGGCCTCTGTCAGCAGGAGTTCATCGCCTGGGCCGTGCGCAGGGAAGGTTAGAGAGCCACTGGAGGGACAGATCCACAAAGGCCCTTTGTCCAGGCCAGGGTGATTTTCGGGGGAGTGACCTAGAGGCTAACCCCTCCCTGGACGACTTGGGGCAGGAATCCCAACAAAGAGCCAGTGGCCCCAAAAGCAGGAAGAGCCAACGGAGAGCAGGCTTGGGTGGAGCTCTGGAGGCCCTCCACTCCAGGAAGCAGCCCAGAGGTGGGGGCACCTAAGCACACCTGTGGGGACTGTAGGATCTACCCCTACTTCAGCCCTGTTAGTGGGGGCATGGTCACTCCTCATCTCAGAGGCTGTGTTCAGGGTAAATTGTGGTAAATCATGAATACAGGGGCAGCTCTCAAAACAGTCCTAGTCACCAACCCCCACACACACACCACACGCCTGTGACTGCAGACAGGGATCCTCCTGGTCCTGCTCCAGGTCTCCCCACCACAGGGGAGGAGAGCCTGTGAGGTCCACTCTCCCCAACATATCCAGAAAAGCCTGAATTATCCATTTCATGTAAATTTCCTCCTCTGTGACTTGGGAACACTGAGAGACCTTTCCTCCGATGTGAGTATTAAGCCAAAGTACATAAAGCCTTTAGTACTGGGTCCTTGACTCCGGATGACAAGGGCCGGCAGCTGCCCAGGTGAGTTGGGAGGCAGAGCAGAGGCACACCTTGGGGAGGCTCAACCTGTCTCACACAGGGCATGGGAGAGCCAGGCCAGGCTGCGGCACTTTGATGGCCCTTCCTTTTCCTCCTCCTCCCAGGGGCCAGACTCATGCCAGACAGAGTCGGCCCCCGCCCCCCCCTGCCGTGCCCTGTGTTCCTGTCCCTCTAGGCGGATCTGCTTTGGGCACAGTGAGGAAGCTGGGAGAGACCCAAGGGCAGGGCGGGGGAGCACCTGGGGAATTCCGGGAGCCTGGGAGCCCTCCCTCCTGGTGAGCCGCACGCAGTGGGCCCCTTGGTCGCAGCTGGGCAGTTCCAGAAGCCCAGGACCGCGAGCTGTGAGGCGGTGATGGCAGGCTCTCGGCACCTGGTGTCCGTGCGCGCAGCGGCCCTGGTGCAGACAGGGCGGCTTCAGGTAGGATGGCACGGGGTCCCTGCCAGCCACAAGGAGGAGGGAGGCAACTCCTGGCCCGGCCCCTCCAAGGCGCCCCCAACCTTTCTCCCAACAGACGTTCGCCTTCTCCGTGTGCTGGTCGGACGGCAGCGACACCTTCGTGCGAAGGAGCTGGGCTGAGTTCAAGGAGCTCCATGTGAGTGAGCCTGTGGCAAACCCCGTCCCCCGAGGCCCAGCACCGACCCTGCCTAGGCGGTGGCCTCGTGCCCATGAGGATCCCCGCCCCTATGACCCCCATCCCCGCGAGGAACCCTCCCCCTCCCCCTCCCGAGGGAACCGCTGGACTGAGGCGGATTCGCCGGTTCTTCCTTAGAAGACCCTCAAGGAGGCGTTCCCGGTGGAGGCGGGCCTGCTGCGCAGATCCGACCGCATTCTCCCCAAGCTCCCCGGTGAGGCCGCTGCGGGAGCCCGCGGGGACCTGGGAGGGGCAGGGGTGCCAGCGGCCCGGGGACCCCCAGATCGAGCCCATCGTGCCCATAGACACATCGCTGTTGGTGCGCGGGGGGCGCACGGGCCGTGGCCTGGCGCGCCTGCGGCTGCTGGACACCTACACTCGGGCGCTGCTGGCCGCAGCAGAGCAGCTGTCCCGGAGCGCGGTGCTCACCCGCTTCTTTGAGCCGCAACCCGTGGACCTGGAGCCGGTGCTACCACCTGGCAGGTACCCCACTCGCCCCTGGTTCCCTGCCCGGGAAAGCCCTTGGAGGCCAGGGGAGGGGCGAGGTGGGGAGGCAGCCGCCGGAAGGGTGGGACGACCCGGCACTCTCACCCACCCCCCTTCCAGTCTGGTGATCCTGCCCACTCCTGAAGAGCCCCACTGCCGCCCGCCACACAGCCCTGCCATCCGTAGCCTGGAGGCTCAGAGCCTGCGCTGCCTGCAGCCCTTCAGCACCCAGGACACGCAGGGTTGGCCTTTCCATGCACGGGCCCAGGAGGTCCTAGACGTGCTGCTGCGACACCCGTCAGGTGGGGCTGCACAGGACTGAGAGCTCGCCCATCTGCTCCCAGAGCCCGAGGGGCTTAGGGGGTCTCAACCTCTGCCCACCTCTTGCGCCTAGGCTGGTGGCTGGTGGCAAATGAAGAGCAGCAAATGGCGTGGTTTCCTGCTCCCTACCTAGAGGAAGCAGCCCCAGGCCGAGAAAGGACGACCCTACGTAGTAGTGGTAGGAGACTGCCCGTGCCCCAAACCAAACGGGCACCACACCCCTGGGCAGTGCTTGGCGAAGCCGGGCCATCGGAGACCCGAGCCAGCACTCGACCTGGGGCTCCGTGGGTGCTGTGGCCCCCATAGTGAGGGGAGCCCCAGTGGATTGGTCTCCATCATCAGGGGAATCCCGGACAGTGTGACTCAATAAAGGAGGGGATGGAGAGGTGGGGCCCTGGGTTCTGAGGCCCTGCAGTGACCCCCAAATGCCAACTCCCAGGGTCCCAGTTCTGTGCTTCCCAAGCCTATGAGAGCATCCACGCAGATGAGCTGTCAGTGCCTGCAGGGGCACGGGTGAGCGTGCTGGAAACTTCTGATCGAGGCTGGTGGCTCTGCAGGTGAGCAGGGGGAGGAGCTTGGGTGCGGCTTAGGGGCGCCAGCGCCAGCCAAGCCCAGCTCTCATCGCAGGTTCTGTTGCAGGTTCCGTGGCCGCTCTGGCCTCCTGCCCGCTGTGCTGCTGCAACCCGAGGGGCTGGGTGCACTCCTGAGTGGACCAGGGCTCCACCACGAGGCCGACAGCGAGGACAGGGGTGGAGAGGCCCAGCGCACCCCTGAAGGCTGCCAGGCCACAACCCTTTCCCCCTCAGTGCCCGCCCGCCCCCCGCTGAGTGCCATTCGCAGCCGCTGCTGCTCGGTCACCCGCAGGGCCCTGGCCAGCAAGTACCCCCCGAGGGCAGGCCAGGAGCTCCAGCCCCCAGGGGCGACGGATGCCAGTGAGGCTGGGGGAGGAGTGTCGGAGGGTGACACCCTCTGGACAGCAGGGCCAGGAAAGCACACACTCCCGCTTCCTGAGTAAAGCCCCTCTGACTGAGGCACACCCCGTGTCTGTGCTGAGAAGGCCAGGGCGAAGGTGTGGCGGGGCTGGGCGGGGGCAGGCCGGGGTGAAACAAAGCCAAGACACAAGGAATCAGGAGAGAAAAACATCTTTCTGCATGTTTCAGAGAGCTGAGGGAGCCACAGAGGGAGCTGTAGGGAGGGTGGGCAGCTTCATGTTGTGCCACAGGAAGTCCAGGAAGGTGGCTGCCTGCAGGGTCCGGCTGAGCCGCTGAAAATGCCTCTCTGCAGGAGGACACAGGGACATCAGGGGCTCCACGGAGGCTGATGGGGATGCTCCCGCCCCCGGGGCCGAGCCCACATACCAGTGTAAGGCAGTAGAGCCTCCAGTGAGGCCTGCATGCCTGGGTACGCCAGGAGCTCTTCTGGGGCCTCGTGCCGCAGGAGCACCCCCAGCACAGCCTGCGCTTCGTGGCAGTGCCTGGAGTTGGTGTTCCACGTGACACAGAAGCGCAGCAGGGCCTCTGGCGGGGGTGGGGACGACACATGGTCAGACCTGCCTGGCGGCGGCCCTGCCCACCCTGCTCACCCGGCTCACTGCCCAGCCTGCCCACCGGCCCCACACCTTTCTGATCTCGCCGCAGCCGCAACACCGTGGCTCCCAGCTTCTCGCATGCCTCAGGGTCCCTCCGGATGGCTGGGGGGTGGAGGGAGGCAGATGAGCCCCAGGCAAGGGCACAGCATGGACCTGAGACCGCCCCCCTGACAGAGCCCCAGGCAGCACTGACCCTGGATGACAGTCAGCACAGTGTGGGGCCGGTCCAGGGAGATGGCCAAGCCCAGGGCCCGCAGGTACCGTTTCTCATGGAGTAGGTTGTCTAGTTCCTGCTTCCTGGTGGGGGAGGAGCAGGGACAGGGTCACTGGGGGACGTGGCTGGGGGTGAAGCAAAGCCATCAGAGGGCTGGCTCAGGAGTCGGCAGCCCGGCACTAAGCGTCCACTGGCGGTGAGCTGTGTTCCTGCCCCCAGCCTCAGTTTCTCCACGCCATAAAACAGAGGTGATCCCTGTGGAACCTGCTCCCAGGGTGTGACGCATGGGACATAGTAGGCACGTGGGTGGTGCTCCAGAGGCCTGGGTAGGGACCCCACACTTACTTGACCACCTCTTCCTCCCGCCTGGCCTGCTCTTCAGACTGCTCCTCCTCGGTCACATCCTGGGGTCAGGGTGAGGTCAGATGGGCACCCTGATGCAGCCCGCCCACTCCCCACGCACCCCACACCTCCACACCTTCCAGAGGATGACGCAGGAGTCACTAGCACCTGTGAGGGCACGATCGTCCAGCCGGCTACAGTGCAGCCCCCAGACCTTGTCCTCATGGGCGTCCAGAGTCTTCACACACTCGTTGTTTTTGATGGTCCAGAGCTTCACGAGACCATCAGAGCCGCTGGGTTTGGGAAGGGGAGGGGCTGAGTGCCAGGCCGGTCCTGTAGCCCATCCCGACCTCCGCCCTCGGCCACCCACCTGGACAGCAGCTGTGTACCGCAGCTCACAAAGACCACCTTCAGCACGGAAGCATCGTGTCCCTCGAATGTCTGCAGGATGGTGGGGGACGATGAGACAACACGGGGTGGTGGGCTGGGCCTGCAGGGGGAGGGGCGCGGGGCGGGGCAGCTTACCTTGAGGCAGCTGAAGTCCTGCAGTGCCCAGAGCTTGATGGTGCCATCGGCAGAGGCTGTGGCCAGCACCTGGTCCATGGGGGAGAACTGGACACACCAGAGGCCACGCCGGTGGCCTGAAAAGACGCCCAGCAGCTGGCAATGTGGCAAAGCCCAGAGCTTGGCTGTGCGGTCCTGTGAGCCTGTGGCCAGCAGCTTGTCGTTGGGGGCAACAGCCACGCTGTTGATGTCCTGGTGATGGGAGCAGGTGGCAGCTCAGATCCCCATCCCAGCAAGAGCCCTGCCACACCCCTGCCCTCTGTACCCTGTGCCATCACCTTGTCATGGCAGCGCTGTGTGGCCTGAGCTTGCAGGAGGACAGGACCGCTGTCTGGGGCTGTGCCCTTAGACAGCAGGGCTTCAGGGATGGGCCACAGCTTCACAGTACAGTCCTGGCTGCCCGTCACCAGAAAGGTCTCCTTTAGCCTGAGGCCAGATTTAGGGTAGGGGAGACACCTGCTGAGCCCCACCAGCCCTGTCTGCCAGGACATCAGACCCCGCACCCGCAGCACAATGGTCCCAACCAGAGGGACTGTTCCAGAACACAGCTTGTGTCACCCCCATGGACCTCTGGGGCCACTGGTCCACTCAAGCCTCCACCACCTGCCCTTGGCTCACCATACCTGGTGATGTGGTCATCAGACCCCCACCCCCTCCTCCCCAGCAGAGAATGTCTTTTCCTACTTCAGCTTTGTTCAGTGTCATTCTTCCTGCCCTTTCATTCCCCCAGCCCCAAGACCAGTTCTGAGAGTCTCCATCACCAACAGCAGTAGGGGGTATCCTGTGCCCACTCTGGCACACACCCCTAGTCTACAGCTTCAAAGACCCAAGCTGAGGCCTCCCCTCCACACCTCCCTGAGTAATCCTACTAGCAGGGCCCAGGCCTCTGCAACACTGCGGACTCCAGCCCTTGATCCCCTACCTAGAACAGCAGATAGTGCCCACACTGTGTGTGTGCCCGGAGCCCTGAGCCACACAGGCCACCCTGCCAGCCTTGTTCATCCTCCAGATACAGATGCTCTGATCCTGGGAATGAAAGGAGTGAGGGCGGAGACTGGGCTGGGTATCACCACTCACACCCATACCTCCCTGCCTCTCGAGATGCCTCACCTTGGCACAGCTGGCAAAGAGCCGCCCCTTCCTGAAAACATCCAAGGCCAGGACAATATCTGGGAGGAAGCAGAGAGGAAACGGCCGTCAGTTATGGTAGAGGACAGCATTCCAGCCCAGGGCAGAGTGCTGCAGCCATCAGCTCAGTGCCCTCACCCGTGTGGCCGTGGAGAATCTGGCAGGTCATTGTCTGCAGCTCAAACACTTTCAGGCTGGGGCTGTTGGAGGCCACGACAATGTGGGAGTCCTCGGGTCCAAGAAACCGGACATCTAACACCTCCTCACTGTAGCCGGCAAACTGGGGGCAGGAGCAGGAGGGACACAAGCCAGAGCCTGCATGAGTGGACAGGTGTACTCCCAGGCTTGGGGCCAAGCAGGGGCAGTGCTCACCTGTTTCTGCAGCTGCAGGGAGCATGCCTCGTAGAGCAGCAGGTTGTGGTCGGTGGTGACGCTGAGGAGCAGGCCGGCAGACTGGGCCAGCATGCAGTGGGTCAGCTCCTGCCTGGGGCCCGGCGGCTGTGGTTGTGCGTATACACACTGGCCAGAGGCTGCCTCCCACACACGCAGCAGGCCTGTGTGGGGACACGGGCTGCTGGGACTGAAGTCCATGGACCTCCCCCAGCCCCTGCTGCCCACCCTGGGCTAAACATACACACCTTGATCTCCGGCTGTCAGGAAGTGCAGGCCCTTGGACTTCACACCCAGTTTAGGCACCGGCTCCTCTGGCAACAGCACCGCGGCTTCCACACTCTGAGGATAAGCAAGTTGGAGGCAGCAGCCCCACTCTCTCCCTGCCCACTTGACTGGCCTGGCCCCCTGGCGTTCCTACCTCAAACACTGGCACAGTCCTCGTGGCCTGGTGGCTCTGCAGGTCCCAGATGACGCAGATCTTGTCGCGGCCCGAGCTGGGAGGGGAAAGAGCCACCTCAGTTCTCAGACTCAGCGGGAGCCCTCCCCTTCCTGCCTCGGCCTGGGTGGCTGGCCACTGACCTAAGCATGGTGTGGCCATCAGCACTAAAGGTCAACGAGGTGACAGCACTGTAGTGGGCAGTCATCACGGCCAGGCACGACTGATCCTGTAGCGACCACATGCGGATGGTGGCATCTGCAGCAGAGGAAAAGAGCAGCAGACGGGCGGGGTCCGGGTGGAAGGTCACCAAGCTGCAGGCAGGGCGGGTGGGACAGGTAAGTTGTGCTGCCCTGGGCGTGACGCCCCGCCCACCCCCTGCCACCTTCTTACTCACTGTACGACACCCGGCGAGCCCCGAAAGTGGTGTGTCCCGTAGTGCCGCACGATGTCCCACACACGCACTGCCCCATCACAGCCACCTGGGGAATGTGTTTGCAGTGAAGTGGTTAGTGTTCCTGAACACCCCGACTGTGTGCCCTCCACGTGGCCCAGCCACCCACCCAGGGCCCTACCTGTGGCCAGCAGGGTGGAAGTGGGGTCAAAGGCCATGGTGGCCACAGGTGCTGTGTGTATCGCCTTCCACAGGCGGGTGATGCTGCCCTCTCGCCAGGCCCACTGAGCTAGAAGCAGCGCCCGGGTGGCTGTTACCAGCACCTGGAGAAGATGCAATTCAGCTGGGAGGCTGGGAGCATGGTCACACGTCCTCAACGCCTCGATGTTTGGGTGCCCACCTCCCGTCCCTGCCCTGTCTACCTGGTCGTCAGGGCTGAGTTCAAAAGCAGTGATGTCCTCCTGGTCCTCCTGGAGGTGAGAGCAAACAGAGCACATGACAATGGGCTGTCCCCCACACCAGTCCCCTGCCCTGGCTCTCCCCACCCTCACCTGTTCCAGGCTCCGCAGTACGGCCCCGGAGGCCACATCCAAGACGTTGACTTTGGTACCACAAACGCAGAAGACATGCTGCCCGGTCTGGTCCAGCTGGTGACAGAAGGGTCTCAGCCAAGATAAGCTTCTGCAGCCCCTGCCCGCCCCACCCCTCTGCCCGTCCCTGGGCTGGTACCTGCACCTTCCCGCCCTTGTAGAAAGGCTCCATCTTGCGCTCGACAGCATAGCTAGAGAGAGAGAACAGGGGAGAGAGTGAGTCCCTCACTCCTCAGTCTCCGTGCCCAGCTTGGGGCTGGGTGCTCCCCCAGAGGTCAACTCCAAAGGCCCCTGCCCTTGAGGAGTTCCCAGGCAGCGCCGGGGATGCAGGAGATTGGAGATGGCTCTTCTCACTGTCATCTCCTCTATCAGCAGCGCTGTGAGGCGGGTATTGGTCCCGACGACGCAGAGGACGCCGGGCTGTAGAGGGGACCCACAGCAGGTCCTAAGGCAGGGCAACAGCGCAGTCCTCCTGGGTTCCCCAGCGGATAGGCCAGCCTCGGGGACCCCCTGCTGGCGGTGGGAGGCCAGCTCCGGGTACAGGCCCAGACCACCACCCGCCCTCGGCAGCTTCCTTCCTAGGTGCAGCCTGCCGCCTCCGCACCCTAGCTCCTTCCTCCCTCTCCCCAAGCCGCCGTCATTCCTGCAGCCTCCAGCTGGCCCCGGCCCTGCCCTCTCGGCTGGTCCAGGCCACCGCACTCCCATCTGGACAGCTGGTCCAGCCTCGCCACCAGTTTGCATCCCTGCCTGCTTTAAGTCCCTCCCCTCCCCTCCCCTGCCCTCCGCTCCGGTTTCCAAGCCCCTGGCTTGCACAAGCCTCCGCTGACGTGCGGCGTCACATGGCTGCTGCCCGCTAGGGGCTCGGCCTCTCTTCCCGGACCTCCCTGATGCCGGCCTGACCCCACCGGGGAAGCTCCCAGCAGCGGACCCCGGTGACACCGCATAGACGCGCTCTGCGCCCGGGGCTTCCCCGCCGGCACTGACGAAACGACGCGCTCGCTCGCTCACTCCAGCGGACCGCGCTCCATCCCGGCCCGGGACCGCCCGGCAGCCGTGCCCGCCGCAGGAGCGGCCCAGCCCTCGGGGCCCGAGGCACGGCCGACCCGCCCAGCCCGGGCCGCCTGCCCCGACGGGCTCTCCTCCCGGCACCGGCGACCGGGGCGCCCCGCCGCGGTCCTGCACCGGCTCCGCTGCCGCTCAGCCCGCCCCTTGCTCCTCCGGAACTTTACATCCACGCCTCCCGAACCGGCTCCTAACGTGGGAACAACGCAGCCCCCGACTTCCGCGCGTCTCCGCAGACCGAACGGACGCCCGCTGCCGGGCCTCTCGGGCTGCCAACCCCGCCGCCTCCCCGGGCGGCGCCGACGCCGCAGCTCACTTGGCCTTGAAGCGGCCCACTCCGGCCACGGGCTCCGCCATGACGCCGCCGCCGCCGCCGCCTCGTGAGCGCACCGGCGCGCCGCTCCCCACTGCCGGCGCGCTGCGGTGACGTCACCGCCCACGGCTCCTGTGACGGCATCAGCGCCGCGCGCGCCGCCATCTTGGCTGTGGGCGGTAGCTGCTGAGCCGGGGAGCGAAGCTGGCAGAGGTGCCGCAGGCCGGGAGGGACGGGGGCGAGGCGGCGTGGAGGCGGCTGGGGCTGAGGCGGCGGCGGCCTGCGGGTCACGGGGCTGGCCCGCTGTTTGCCTTTTAGTGGAAATTGTAAAAAGGAGTCGTGGGAAATGTTTACTAAGGTCATCCGGGGACTCTTGCCCCTCGGCATTCTGGGATTTGGGGACGCCGGGTGCTCAGGGTCCCGTGTGGGATGCACCGCCGGTAAATGACTAGGCCCGGTCACTTCAGAGGCCCTCGGCATTGATTGATCACATGCTCTGTGCAAAGCACTGTTCTAGGTGTCTGGGAGGTACGAGGGAGGAGAGCAGGTGGTCGGGGCGGGACGGCGGGCCAGGAGCGATAGGAGGCGCAGTGGTTAGTGCTGGAGACGCGGACGGATGGGGCGGCGGCGAGGACAGGGGGCACCTGAGTGAGGGAGGCGGGGCCCCCGTGGCCGCACAGAGCAGGAGGTCGGGATACTGGGAAGCCCCTGGGAGGCTTGCTGAGCTCAGGGCTCGGCCGTGAGACTGGCTGGGAGGTTGGTAGAGCGGTAGGAGCGTCGGGGAAATCCTCTGCGGGGAAGAGGCGTCTGAGGCCAACGGAGAGCAAGGAGAGCCTTCCAGGCCGGAGAGGCCAGTGCCCCGCGTGGGTAAGGCGGTGCTGCCTGGAAGGGGGCGGCCGGCAAGCACACGGTGGCAGGGCGGCCCAGGCCTGGGCTCTGCGTTTATTCACCCTTCTATTTACAAGGTCCCTTGGCCCTGGGCCCCTCACATCTCGGCCCCCATGCTGCCTTCTGGAGTGGCCTCGGCCTCCCCTTGCGGGGCGCCCACAAGCATCGCGTCTTCCTCCTCCAGGAAGCCTCCGAGCTGGGCCAGCTGTCTGCGGACGAGATTGGCCGTGCGGTGCACTTCGCGCATGCGCCGCAGCAGGCCCAGCACCAGGGTCCGGCTGCGCTCCTGCCGCCAGCTCCAGGCCTCGCGCAGCTCGCGGTAGCAGTTGTGGCGCGCACGCTCCACGGGCCCCAGGGTGGCCCCGCAGCCCAGCGGGCAGCGCTCCTGGGCCCCGTGTGGGCAGTGCTGCCGGTGCTCGGCCAGGGCCCCACGCAGCACCCGTGCCGTGCAGCCCTCGTGGGGGCAGGCCATCAGCTCGAACGGGCATGAGTCCTGATGCCCCCTTCGATGGGCCAGGGGGCACGTCACCGAGCAGCCAGCTTCCGCGTTCTTGCACTGGGGGTAGGGGAGAGCACCACGTGAGCCCAACCAGGCCGGACATAGCAGCCTACCTTACACAGAATCCCCCGTGGTGTTCCTGATTTGAGAGCCTGCCAAGGCCTAGGCATCAGTGATGTGGAGGGTAAAGAGTTGGACAATTGTTTGGAGGTGGGGAGACTCTAGACCCCTGAGAGCAGGGGCACAGGGCTGGCCTGCTCTCGCAGTTCTAGTGACATGCTTTTTTGTTTTGTTTTGTTTTCCCCTAATCTTCATCTATTAGGGGGCTGTAGTGATGGCCAGCACAGCAGACATTTCATCCTCTAAAACTCTTGTATAATCCCCATTTTACAACTGCGGCCCCAGGGGCTCAGGTTAAATAATTTGCCCAAAGTCACACAGCAAAGAAGTGGTAGAGAGGGGGACTCAAACTCAGGCAGGACTGATGACCTCAGGGCTGCAGTCTGTCGCTGGAGCAGAAACCCTCAATTCTGAGGATAGGATGCTCCTTACCCTCTCTCCTGGCTCTGTCCCTCCCCTGGCAGGAGCGAGAAGGATGCTGGGAGTAAGGGCTTCAAGCTACCTTGACTTCCAGGCGGCCAATGGTCCTCCGGAGTTTATTTACATGGACCATCTTTTTCCGTTTCACTTCTTTCCTGCAGCATGGACAGGTCTTCTGTCTAGGAGGCAGGAGCAGGGGGAGTGTTGGGAGCTGGTAGGAACCAAGTAGCAGCAACATGCCTTCCCAGGTGGTCCCTTCTCTCAGGCCCAAATAGGCCTGAGGACTTCATGGGGAACTCAGCTCTGAAGCTGGGGCCACGGGCTGTAAATACCACTCGGTGCGGGGACACACAGATTTTAGGGTCCTAGATTTGGCAGCTCTTAAGGCCATTATGACCTAATGCTTGGCAGACCTTCCTCTCTGTTCTGGGCCCCAAGAATGGCCACAGCCTTGCCCGTCCTCCCAGCCACTTGAGTGCCCACTAGCACCTGGCTAGCCACCGGAGGATGCATTTCTTGCAGAAGATGTGGCTGCATGGCAACCTCACTGGTCTCTTGAGAACTCCGTGGCACACGGAACATAGGAAGTTGCAATCAGGAGGGCTGGCGAAGAGGTTGAGATCATATCCGCCACTCTGCAAAGGCCAGGCCAAAATCAGGGCCTGGCGGACCAGTATCCACCCGCATACCCAGAGGGAAACCCAGGATGGGGAGGTTGGCCGTATGAGAGCCCCAAGTGGAGTGCTGGGTCAGGACCCACTATGAAGGGACAGCTGTGAGGGTCAGGGCCCTCCATGACTACCAATCCCCAGCAGGGGAAGCCAATTTTGGCCTAACTCCAGGTCAGAGCCCTTGGAAAGGTGGGTTTCCTTTGTCTGTTTGGGACCTTGTAATCCACTGTTCACCCTTTCTCAGAGTGAGAATGGGGTCAGTTCTGGGCAGGTCTTAAACAAGGAACACATTTAAAGGCCAGAGGCTCACCATGATCTATGTCTGGATGGCAGCTCCACTGACCCCCAGGGCTCAGGAGCCTCTATTTCACAGCAGGAGCAGCCCGACATCACAGTGGCATTGTCCAACTCAGGCCAATCATGGCCCTGGCCCAGGGCTTACTGGGATCCTATAACATCTGGCCCTTGCTCATAGTTGAGAAATAGGTAGTCTGGACCTGGGCAGGTCCCTGAAGCCTGTCTCAGCAGTGGGGACACCTGATCCCCAGGCAGCACGAGGCTGAAAAACCAAACTTCTGGTGGCTGTTTCCCCAAAGCTGAGGCCCTGGCAGAATGTGGGAATCCTTCCTTCTCCCTCCTCAAATAATGCTGCCCAAGCATTATCTCTAAGAGCCTTGGGACTTTTGACATAGACCCACCATCAGGTCTCTCAGGATCTAAAACTCGTAGAACTGGCTCCAGAGTACCGATCAGGAGGGAAGGGAGGACCAGATTCCCACGCAACCTGTGGTACCACGATAGTAGTGGTGGTGTGTGGGAAAGCCTTCCAGAACAGGTAGGCCCTGCCCATCTGGGGACATCAGCTGCAACCTGAGAAGCCAGCATGGTTCCACACTTGAGGCACATAACCAGAACTGGAGGTTCAGTAGCAAGAGCAGCGCGCTCACCAAATCCTGAAGACCCCACCTCCCTCCTGAGAGCAACAGGGGGGCCGATGAAAACCTATGAGTCGGGGCAGCCCCCGTGGCACAGCGGTTTAGTGCCGCCTGCAGCCCAGGGTGTGATCCTGGAGACCCTGGATCGAGTTCCGCATCGGGCTCTCTGCATGGAGCCTTCTCCCTCTGTCTGTGTCTCTGCTACTCTCTCTGCATCTCTATGAATAAATAAATAAAACCTTAAAAACAAAAAAAGAAAACCTATGAGTCGGCAATCTTACGCTCTCACGCTTGTATTAATTTTGAAAATAAAAGTTATTTCACTGGCCAAAACAGGTTTATTTGGGAATAACACAATTGTAATTCAGGGCGTGCAAGCTATGGCAAAACCGTAAGCAAGCCCAGCAAACAAAGGAAAGAAATTTTATTTCGCGGAGAAAATCGGGAGGGATTTTTCTGAGCGAGAGTTCAGGGTGAGGGCGGCTTCTCACGGGCGGAGTTGCCCGAGGAAGTCGCACATCCTTCCCCGTCGGGGTCGGTAACTGACGTTTAGCGGCGGGGCTCCTCCTGGAGGCCGCCCTGCTTCACATTCGCACCTGCGGGTGGCTCGGTGCCCCGCCCAAGTCCCCTCAAGCGCAAAGGTACCTGACCTGCTACTGTGGAAGCTGTGCGGTGTGGGACCTGGGCCGGCCGACCCGCGGGAGCCCGGCTGGCGGAGCTGGGGAGGTGGCAGGAGGCCGTGCCCTCAGGGTCTGTCCTCCACGGCACAGCACGGATGGACGCGCTCCAGGCGGGCGGGGGGGGCTCCCGCGCCGACTCGGGCCGACTGCTCCACGGGGCGTGCGGGGCAGAGCCCCCTCCCGCCGCGCTCCGGGGCGTCTGCGTCCTGCGGACAGAACACGGGGTCAGGAGTCAGAGGTTAGGGATCAAGGGCCAGAGCACCTGCGGCCTGGGGCGGCGGGGCGCTTGTCGGGGCCTGGGTTTCACCTCTCCACACGGACCAGTGGGCGGTGAGCTGAGGCCCCCGGTGGCTCTGGGCGCCGAATCTCACCCGCGTCCACGGGCAGGGCCGCAGGTGATTTTCAACCAACGCCGACCCGTCGACTGCCGCAGGGGGACGCGGCGAGGCGCGGGCCTACCTGCAGCGCGCGCAGCCGGGCCGCGGCGGCACCGGGGAGCAGGAGAGCAGAACCAACGTGCGCAGGCACACGCAGAGCCGGCCAGGGGGCGTGGGGGTGCGCCTCCACCGCTCTTATAGGCTCGCGCTCGGGGCGGGGCACCCGAGATCTCGCGGTACTTGACGTAGGATAAATACTCCCTCCGCACGGCCTCGTTCTTCTTCTCCGAGAGAACACGTGAGTCTCCGCGGCGGCGGCGGCGGCGCGCGGGCCGGGGCGGTGGGAACTCGTGGCGGTCGGGTGGGGGGGCTCGCACCCGCGCCGCGGCGCCATCGGGCGGGGGTCGTGGCTCCCGGCGCCCGCGGGTGGGAGGGCCTCGCTGACTGGCGGGTTCTCGCGTCCCTTTCAGCAAATGGCGGATGACGCCGGTGCTGCGGGAGGGCCCGGAGGCCCCGGGGGCCCCGGAATGGGAGGCCGCGGCGGCTTCCGCGGAGGCTTCGGCAGCGGCATCCGGGGCCGTGGCCGAGGCCGTGGTCGAGGCCGGGGCCGGGGCCGCGGAGCTCGCGGAGGCAAGGCGGAGGACAAGGAGGTAGGTTCAGGCTCAGTGGGGGTGGGGGCTGGGCGGCGCCGGTCAGGGGCCCTACTCACCCGCGCCTCTCCTCCAGTGGATCCCCGTCACCAAGTTGGGCCGCCTGGTCAAGGACATGAAGATCAAGTCCCTGGAGGAGATCTATCTGTTTTCTCTGCCCATCAAGGTAGCGGCGTGGGCAGCTGCGGTCTCCGCGAGGCTCCTTCGGCCTGGGGCGGGATGTGTCCACGGGGGCCAAGGCTCCACGGGTCGGGGGAGAGGGAGTGTCCAGGTGCTCTACCTCTGACTGTGGGTGCCCGGCTTGCAGAGGAGAGCCTGGGCAACTGGAAAACCAGTTCTACGAGTCCAGGTGGAGGTTCTTAACCTCGTTTACAGGGGTTTTGAGCTATTTAAGTGGTTTTGACATTATTTCTTACTCCATAGGAATCTGAGATCATTGACTTCTTCTTGGGGGCGTCCCTCAAGGATGAGGTTTTGAAAATCATGCCGGTGCAAAAGCAGACCCGTGCTGGCCAGCGGACCAGGTTCAAGGTATCCTAGTCCCCTTCTGGTTTCCCAGCCTATTTCTGCCAAGAGGTTTGGGAGAACTCTCTCAGCTCTGCAAGGTCATGCTTGCTGTCACACGTGTGGCTTTCGTAAAGGGGAGAGAGAGAAAGGATCTCCTCCGGACCTCAGGGTGGCCTTATTGTGGCTACTCTTTCCTGGAGGGGTGCCACAGGTCCTGGTTGGTGGCTGCTGAGGCCGGGCCGGCCAGTGGACCACCAGCCATCTCAGGCTCTTCACAGGCATTTGTTGCCATCGGAGATTACAACGGACACGTGGGTCTGGGCGTCAAGTGCTCCAAGGAGGTAGCCACTGCCATCCGTGGGGCCATCATCCTGGCCAAGCTTTCCATCGTCCCCGTGCGACGAGGCTATTGGGGGAACAAGATCGGCAAGCCCCACACTGTCCCATGCAAGGTAGGCTTGGGGTAGTGAGTGATGGGCTCTGCAGTGGCACAGGCTCCCCATAGCTCATTTCCTGACATCTCCACACTTTGCAGGTGACTGGTCGCTGTGGTTCTGTGCTGGTGCGTCTCATCCCTGCCCCCAGAGGCACTGGCATTGTCTCAGCCCCTGTGCCCAAGAAGCTACTGATGATGGCTGGTATTGACGACTGCTATACTTCGGCCAGGGGCTGCACTGCCACCCTGGGGAACTTTGGTAGGTGGTCCTCGTGGACACTGTGGCCTCTCTCAGCTCCGCTTAATCACACTTAGTGTGTGCTTGGCGTATTTTCAGAGAGAGAGAGGAAGGCCCTCCTAATGCACGGCAGATTGGCCCCAACTGGCCTCTCTGTTCCTAGGAGCGCAACAGCTTTTGTCTGCATCTGGGGTGTTCCACGAATCCGCCAACCCTCTTCTGTTTTCTCTTCCAGCCAAGGCTACTTTTGATGCGATCTCCAAGACCTACAGCTATCTCACCCCTGATCTCTGGAAAGAGACTGTGTTCACCAAGTCTCCCTATCAGGTACCGCCTGCCGAGACACCTCATTATAACCTAGACAAGGGCATGGGGTGCTGGGGTGTGGCTACAACTAACACCTTGTCTTTTTTAGGAATTCACTGACCATCTTGTAAAGACCCACACCAGAGTCTCCGTGCAGAGGACCCAGGCTCCAGCTGTGGCTACCACATAGTTTTATACAAGAAAAATAAAAGTGAATTAAAGCTTGTTAATAGTGCCTTTCTTTATTTCTCTTCAGTTGTTGAATTTAAAGGGAGATAAACCAATAAAGTCATCAGTGGGTCAAGGTTGGAGATCAAAGGTGTTACCAGAAACTGATTTCTTATTTTTTTATTTTGAGGATAATCTTGTAAAGAGGCTCGAGGAGCTGCCTTAGGCAGCGGCAGCCTCTTTAGCAGCTTTTCTCTCTGCCAGCATCCGCTGCTTCTGTTTAGCCAGGCACTTCCTAGCAGAATAATGGGCTCCCAGGTCGTGATCTAGGAAAGAGACCGGAGTAAGGAAGTCAGGCCAGTTTTCCAGGGTGCAGACCAGGGTCTTCTCTAAGCGGGGAGGAAACGCAGCTAGCTAAGTGCTGAGCAGAAAAGGGACCTGGGATGTAGTGATTCTCTTAGTACCCCTCCCCCAACCAACTGGCACTCTATGGGCAGTGATGTTTCTAAAAACTGGAGGGCAGCCAGGGTGGTGCAGCCATCAGCCCAGGGCGTGATCCTGGAGACCTGGGATCCAGTCCCACGTCAGGCTCCCTGCATGGAGCCTGCTTCTCCCTCTGCCCGTGTCTCTCCTGAATAAAATAAAAAAAACGAGAGAATGTGAAGGGTTCAAGGAAGAGGCCAGGGTGGGGGGGGGGGTGCTTACAGCGGTCCTGGTAGGCCTTGGCCACCTGGGTGAACTGCTCCAGCTCCTTGGCACAGTTCTGCCTGTAGCTCTCACCTTCCCGCTGCTGACAGGCCTTCAGCCTCTCCTGGATAATGTTCACAATTTCTTGATCCACTTTACTGAAAAGAACCGGAAAAGTGATCTGTGAGGAATCCTTTCCCTGTACCCAGAGATGGTAGAATGAAAATGAGACCTTACGGCTCTGTTGTCTGGCTGCTGCACCCTCAAGACCTGGGCCAACCCCAGAAGGCATTCTTGCCAGCTGACCACCATCCCACGGTACCCCAGGGAATGAGAGCCCAACAGGAGATGCTGACCATCCCAGGCTCACCATTCCCCTACTAAGGAGGAACACCCACAGGCAGGACCTACTAGTCTCTTCTCCATTGCATTTCTGCTTCAAACATGCACAAGACATCCTTTTCCTGGCACTCCGTGATGTCTGGCACACGGCGGAACTCCCGGTGGTAGTAGTAATACCTGTTTTTCGCATGCTGCCGATCTATAAACTCTGTAAAGAAAAAATCCCAGACTCAATGGCCCCGTTGGTTTACACAGGCCACAGAACTGTTCTTAGCTTTGTTCTTTCTCACAAGCCACGGACGGGGCAGATTTCCCAAACGTTCCTAGCTTTCACAAAGACTGCCAATTAGACTCTGGACAGGTGTGGCTGGTGGTCCTGGGTTTACAGATGGTGAGGTCTACTGTTGACGGAGGGCCTCCCGGGAGCCAGACACCCTGGGTATTCTCTGGGTAGATCCCAGTAGAGTACTCAGGCCCAGAGAACTCAGGATTCTGAACCCATGCTCGGCTAGCCCACACCCTTCTACAAGTCCTACCTCCTGGCCAACCTCCGCCACCACACAGGCTTCCCTGTGTAGGCAGAGGCCCCGTGCCAGTTTTGCCACCAGTGACCTTCTGGCCTCAACATCCCTGCCCATAAGTTGACTGGTAGGAACCAGTGAAATCATCCCTCCAGACACAAAACACTTTGTAAGAAACAGAGTGGGTCCCCTGCTGTGCCTTTCCCAGACGCGGGGGTCTGATCTGCGGACTATCTAAAGAAAGAGCCACCAGGGCATTCTATGCACTCCAGATGTTGTTGCTGAATGAATTGGTTAATGAAATGCATGATGCACTGCCTGGCACTAGTGACTGAGTGCCCGTGCGCTCCTGCTGCTGCCTCCACTGGGCTAGCTGCATAACACATCGGGCAACAAAGAGCTGTTTTAAACATCTGCCTAGTTTGGACCGGAGATGGGGGATCTGGACAGGTCAAACGCGAACACGCGGGAGTACAAGTCAGGGCACATCTAGGTTGAGGGGACCTTGGCCATCACCCGACCACCGCGGTCACTGTGCAGGTGTGCAGGGAGGATGAGGTTTAGCAAGCTGCAGGCCAGGGGTGCAGCGGGGCTCCCCGGGCGGTGCCGGCCGGAAACAGTGAGGGTCTCAGGGCGGGAGGGGGAGCCGGGGGTGTGTGCAGTTGCAGAGCCCAGGGAGCGGCGGGGGCCCCGGATGGGGTCCGTACCTCTCACTAGGGTCACCGGCCGGTCCACGAGGAGGTCGAAGGCCTTCGTCAAATAGGTAACTGGGTTGGGCACCGAGGTCTGCGGCGAGGGCGCCGGCGTGCGGCGCGGGGGCTCGGGGTACACATCCTTGTCCCAGCTGTCCGGCATGGCGGCGGCGGTGCGTGACGGGGACAGTCCACTCTCGGGGGCGCGACCCCGGCCTCCACCTGGGTCCCACGGCCTAGTTCGCCCGCCGCAGAGGACGCCCTAGGGAAGTTGCGCCTGCGCAGGAGGGGGCGGGGGGCGGTGCTCGCGAGGCACCATGGAACTTGTAGTTCGCCCGCTGAAGAGGAGGCGCTAGGGCGGCTGCGCTGAGAAGGGCGACCGCCGCTCGCGGGGCAGCATGGGACTTGTAGTTCCTTCGGCCAGCCCAATGGTGGGCCCGGTCAGCCCTGCGCGCGTCGCCTGCCCGCTGTGTCTCCATCGCGTGTCCTGTGTGCTGGGCGTTCGGGATACTCTGGTGGAGACAGCAGAGACCCCTGCTTGCATTAGTATTATTTTTTTTCCTGCTTACATTCTAAGACCCGATAGACACAGGAATAAGTGAACTGTTCACAGGTTCGTGGGTGTACAGGCACGTGTACAGGCTCGTGCAAATGCAGCAGGGAGCAAGATAAACTCAGCTGGGCTCTTCTGGAGAACTCTGGCCACTAGAACAAACTACCAAACACCTTGCTCTTTCAGGAAGCCTTCCTGAATTGCATCTTCCCTTCAGCCCTCTCTGGGTTCCACTTTGTCTTCTAGGGCCTCTCCTGGACTGGCTAATGCCAGGGAGCTTGGGGGTCCTCTCTCGGGCTTGCCACCAGAGGCTTCTCCCACCCACAGGGGGAGGTGACTTCTACCAGGGGTGCCCAGTGCTGCGGCCTAGTTCTGATGGTTCTGCCCTGCCCCTGAGCGCTATTGTGCTGACCCTGGCCCTGCTGGCCACCCTGGGTGATCTCCACGACCGCCAGGGCCCCTGGCCAGTACCAGGGAGGGCGCTGGTCACTTCATGCCTAGAGGCTGGGGCCAGGGGCGCGGAGCTGTCCATTCTGTGGATACACAGAATCTGTGATCACAGAAATAGCAAATGGTAAAATACACACTGACAAAAAGAATTTTAAAAAAAGATTATTTCTTTGAGAGAGAGGGAGAGTGAGTGCAGTAGCAGGGGGAGGAGCAGAGGTAGAGGAAGGAGCAGGCTCCCCACTGAGCAGGGACCCCCCCCCCCTACGCCCTATGTGGGGCTTGACACGGGACTCAGATCCCAGGACCCTGAGATCATGACCTGAGCTGAAGACAGACCCTTCACTGACAGAGCCACCCAGGCAGTCCTTGACTGGACAAGGGGGGACCCAATAGATCCAGGCGGGAGCTGCCCCTGCTGCCGCCACCACCCCATGGCTCAGCAGAATAGGAGAGAGCAGAGAACTCAGGGGAAGGCACCGGGGTGGCAGCTGTCGGCTGCTACCAGGCAGCAGCGGGACTTGCAGGTCATGTAGCAGAAGCAGCAGGAGGCAAATGGGGGGAGGAACCCATGCAGCTCGTGGCTCTGTGCCCGGCCCTCTGCTTCCTGGCCTGTGGGCCTGGTGTCAGTCCCACCAGGGTGGGCTGTCCTACAGCGCTCGCAGGCCTCCACTGGGGCAGGCCCTTTGCCCTGAGTCTGTGGGCATTCCTTCTGTGCTTCCTCGCCTCGGGTAGCCTCTCCGGGGCCTCATGCTTGCCCCTTCCTAGGATTTTATTCCCTCGGGACCCGGCTTTGTGACGAACGAAGAGAACTGTGACATTTTAGCAGCGAGTCTTAGCACCAGCAAGGCACAGTCCACAGGTGCTCGGATGTGTCAGGCTGTGAAACTAATTCTTCAGGATCTGAACTTTATAACCACAGAATGTTTGATCATAGCTCTTACCACCTGCCCCAACACACCCCCCGCAGTTGTCCAGCCCAGCTCTCAGCCCCAGGACCAGAGTTCCCTGTGTCTGATGGCCAGCACGCTGGACCAGCGGCCTGAAGGAAGGCCCGCCGCGCCTGGGGCTCCCCGACTCCTTTGCGGCCCAGGGGCTCCTTCCTGGGAGGGTAACGTGAGGCCGTGAGGCTGAACACAAAGAGGGTGTGGCCCAGCTCCAGGGCCCTCGAGGAAGGGAGTGACAGGCCTGGTCCAGGTGTCCCCACCCCAGGCTGCCCATCCGATGCCCCCTTTGCCCCGCCCCAGGCCGGGCGTGCTCCTGGCACTGGAGCCCGTGCCTGCCACGGGACATGACCAAGCTCCCCTGCCAGGGGCTAAATCTGGGAGCTGGCTGCTATGCGTCCTGGCCCTGCCACTCGACCTCCAGTGCCTGTCGGGAGGCCCCTTCCCTCCCTGACCTGCGGGGACCAGCTACCATGGTCAGTGGGCTGGGGGGCTGGACCCGGCTTCCTGGGAGGGCCACGTGGGCTTCTGGAGTCCTTCCCAGCAGGCATGGGCCTTGGGCCTGCGGGGGAGTTGCTGGCGGAAGGGGACAGCGGGGGGCCAGAGCTCGGCTTGCCAGGCCTAGAGTGGGCAAGGAGACGGGTAGATGGCCGTGGCCCCCTGTCCCTTTAGCCCTCGGCCGCAGTGGGGGCCTGTCCTCCCGGGGCCGAGCCCACTGAAGCAGGGAGCCCGAGGGGGAGGACAGCTCGTGCTGGCTCTGTCCCTGAGACACAGCCCCTGAGCCCACTGTCCCTCCTTCCCTGTGGACAGAGGGAGGCGCTCGAGGCCACGGGTCCCAGTCTGGGGTCTCTGACTCCCGTCTGGGGGCTGGGCCCATTCAGCGCCCCCCCCCCAGGGACGACCCGGCCCTGACCGCCCCCTCCTGCCCCCAGTCCCACCGGAAGTTCTCTGCCCCTCGGCACGGACACCTGGGCTTCCTGCCCCACAAGAGGAGCCGCCGGCACCGGGGCAAGGTGAAGACGTGGCCTCGGGACGACCCCAGCCGGCCCGTGCACCTCACGGCTTTCCTGGGCTACAAGGCCGGCATGACGCACACGCTGCGAGAGGTGCACAGGCCGGGGCTCAGTGAGTGGCTACGGCGGGCCCACCGGGACGGGGACGGGGCGCGGCCTGCCTGCCTGGCACCGCCCCCAAGGACTTGGGGTGCTGGGAGCCAGAACCAGGGGCCAGGAGGGGAAGCCCCAGGAAGGGCGAGGCCCCGCCCTGGGCGCTGAGGTCAGGGCGCTGTCCCCAAGCCTGGGCACCGACCACACCGTGGGGGCCGCGCTGACACTGAGGAAATCAGCCGGTCCCCAAACTTGCCCGGCGCCCCGCTAGCAAGGGAGGAGCTGCCGTTCAAAGACGGGTGCCCGGAACATGCGGTTTGTTTTGTGATGGGGTCGCGTGTGGGCTGTAATAAGGAAAAATCCAGAGATCCCCACGCTTTACCCCATTTTATAAGGAAATACCTTATAAAAGTGTGGGAATAGGTCACAACCGGGTATCGATGTGGATACAACCTACGGATGCTGTTCTGGTTTGCCTGGTCAGGGCGTGTGTGTGTGTGCGCCCACGCACCATTTCTTTCTCCCAGGTTCTGTCCTGTGTAAGTGTGTGCCTGGAACATTCCATCCCCACAGGGGTCCTTCCTATTGCCCTTTCATAGCTTCAGCCACGACCCTCCAACTGCTTGGCACCTGCTCATCTGTTCTTCATCTCTCCTCATGTATTTTTTATTTTTATTGATTTATTTTTTAAAGATTTTAAAATTTATTTTTTTATTTTTTAAAGATTTATTTATTTATTCAGAGAGAGAGAGAGAAGCAGAGACATAGGCAGAGGGAGAAGCAGGCTCCATGCAGGCAGCCCGACGTGGGACTCGATTCCGGGTCTCCAGGATCACACCCTGGGCTGCAGGCAGCGCTAAACCGCTGTGCCACCGGGACTGCCCAAGATTTTAAAATTTATTTGAGAGAGAGAGAGAGAACATAGGGAGGGGACGGGGGCGGGGGGAGGTGGAGAGAATGTCAAGCAGGCTCCCTGCTGAGCATGGAGCCCAACATCAGGGGGCTCGATCTCACCACCCTGAGATCATGACCTGAGCTGAAATCAAGAGTCGGACACTTTGGGGCACCCGGTGGCTTAGTGGTTGAGCGTTTGCCTTTGGCTCAGGGTGTGACCCTGAGGTCCTGAGATCCAGTCCCACATCGGGCTCCCTGCGTGGAGCCTGCTTCTCCCTCTGCCTGTGTCTCTGCCTCTTTGTGTCTCTCATTAATAATAATAATAATAATAATAATAATAATAAAAATAAAAATAATAAAGAGTTGAACTCTTAACTGAGTGCACTACCCAGGTGCCCTTCTCCTAATATATGATTTAAACATAAACTTTTACTTTGTTTTAGTCTCAGTAATAACTTTTATAAAATCATTGGTTTTGGACAAATTATAGGTATTTTTCTAGAACTTGACCACATACATTCATAACCATTAAAATTAAAGATGATCCTGTGTGCTTCCCTTAAGGAGTCTCAACCCTGCCCTTCGGGAGTGCTGCCCTGGCTGTTGGCTGTTGTAGCTCATTTTCAGATGACCTGGCAGGGAAACTGAGGCAGGGAGCAGGCAGGCCCTGCCTGAAATCTCAGAGCTAGAGCGTGCCTTGACCAGCACCTGCTCCATGCCCAGGGCAGAGCAGAGGGAGAAGGGCCGGGGGCTGGAGGTCAGTGGGGCCCCTGGGGAAGAGGGGCTGTAGCTGACTCTTCCACCTACCCCCTGCCCCCGCGGGCCCCGCAGGCCCTCCTCCATGCTCCTGTCTCTGGGTCTCATCTAGAAATTTCCAAGCGGGAGGAAGTGGAGGCAGTGACGATCGTGGAGACGCCGCCTCTGGTGGTGATCGGTGTTGTGGGCTACGTGGCCACCCCTCGAGGCCTGAGGAGCTTCAAGACCATCTTCGCAGAACACCTGAGTGACGAGTGCCGTCGCCGCTTCTACAAGGACTGGTGAGGGCCACCGGCGCGTGGAGCTGGCCCGTCCCTCCATCCCCAGCCCTGTCCTGGAGCGGCGGGGGTGGGCGGGCAGGGGAACGGTCAGCCGGACGGAAGTGTGGCTATGGGGGGTTGCCTTTGCTTCAATAAAAGGCGAGTGCTAAGAGACTGGAGTAGAAACTGGGGTAGTGTAAGAGAGGGAGCAAGTGTTCTAACCCTCAGGGTTATGTTAAAGCACTAATGTGATGGAATGTCAGTGTCGGCTCAGAGCTTCCTAGCAGCCAGGGTGAAAAGGGAAAGAGCCAGCAACAAGCTCTTCTCAGAAAGAAAGGCATAATTGGGCCTTAGATGTTCCCTGACACTAAGTCCTGAAAGGGAAGGCCCACCTGCCCAAGGAACCTCACAGACACTCCCATCCTCACTGAGTCGGAGGCACACCCCATCCTGGCCCTCTGTGGGAGTTAACGAGCACCAGCCCATGAGCCAGAGCAGGCTGTATGACCACAGGCAAGCTGGCTGGCCTCGTAGAGCCTCCTGGATTGTGCCCCCGCCGTCACAGACACCGTCACAGACACTGTCAGACAGAGACACCGCAGGATGGAGAGATCTCTGTGTCATGCGGCCACTGGGAGGCTCACACAGCCGTGAGTCCAGTGCTCGGCGCACAGAAAGAGCTCACCGAATGACAGCTGGCCTTGGATTTGCTCTTTCTTTCTTTCTTTCTTTCTTTCTTTCTTTCTTTCTTTCTTTCTTTCTTTCTTTCTTTCTCTTTTTCTTTTCTTTTTTTTTAAAGATTTTATTTACTGGGCAACCCCGGTGGCTTAGTTAAACTGCTAAAGTTTAGCGCCGCCTTCAGCCCAGGGCGTGATCCTGGAGACCCGGGATTGAGTCCCATGTCAGGCTCCCCGCACAGAGCCTGCTTCTCCCTTTGCCTGTGTCTCTGCCTCTCTCTCTCTTTCTCTCTCTCTGTGTCGCTAATTAATAAATAAAATCTTAAAAAAATAGATTTTATTTACTTATTAATGAGAGACACACAGACAGAGGCAGAGACACAGGCAGAGGGAGAAGCAGGCTCCCCATGAGGAGCTTGGTTTGGGACTCGATCCAGGGACCCGGGATCATGACCTGGGCCGGTCAGGCACTAAACGGCGGAGCCACCCAGGGATCCCATGAGCCACCCAGGGATTCTGGTTTTGCTCTTTCAATTTGCCCCTCATCCAGGGGCTTTGACTTTTGTGAATTTTGGTTTCTTTGTCTGTAGAATGGGGACCATACGTCTACCTTCCAGACTTTGGGTGAGGGTGACCAACAGCGTGGCGTGGCGCCTGGTCGCTACGGGCTGTTGGCCTTACAGGTGGGGTCTGGAGCTCTAGCAACATAGGCAGGTGGCTGTGGGGCTGGCCAGCACACCCCTTCCTCAAGCTGTGGCACATCCGACAGTCACTTGCAGGCCTCAGAGGCACGAGGGCGTCCACTCTATGGAGGAGGAGCCTGAGACCCGGAGAGGAAGGGACTGTCTGTGCTTACTGGGGGCGGCTGGAAGAGGGACCCCCAGGGAGGGCTCAGCCGTGGCCTCCCCGGGAAGGGAAGGAGGGAGGAGGGGACAAACACTGTCCTAGGAGCCCTGCTTGGTGAGCCGTGGGCGTGTGCGTCTGGAACGGGCCTGGGGCGCTGCCCTGGCCGACCCCTCTGAGTGTCTCCTGTGTGACTCAGGCATAAGAGCAAGAAGAAAGCCTTCACCAAGGCCTGCAAGAGGTGGCGCGATGCCAATGGCAAGAAGCAGCTGCAGAAAGACTTTGCCGCCATGAAGAAGTACTGCAAGGTTATTCGTGTCATTGTCCACACTCAGGTCAGCCCTACTACCTTGTCCACACTCGGTCCATCGGGCTGGTCCTTGGGCCCACCCTCTCTCTCCTCCACCCCAGCTTCCAGGAGCCCCAGCAAATGTCAACCTAAAAATATCACGAGCGTGGGGCACGGGCCCAAAGGGTGGGGTGGCTGGCCGCGCCGGCACAGTGCCCGGGATGGGATGCTAGGTGTCCATGCCCTGAAGGCTGTGGGGCCCTCGCCATGCCTGGTGCTCACACAAGGCCCTCGTGTGCCCTGAAAGGCCTAGACCTCCTGCCAAATGTCCAGCAGAGAGGGCCAGCCACCTCCCTTCAGGTCCTGGCACTAAAGTGTATGTGAGGCAACATTCATACACAGGATCTGGCTTGATGGGGGCTGTCAGGGTGACTCATGGCTTCTGGCTTATTCTGGAACCCTCCTTGGTGCCTCAGGGACAGCCTGCCTAGGTCTGGAGCAGCACCCCGCTCCTCCCCTGCCTGTCACTCTCACACTCGCCGTTCCTGGTTACCTGTGTCATGGGTTTCGTCCATTTCCCTTGATGGCCTGGAGCTCCATGGGACAGGGGCCCCGGCTGCCTGCTCAGTGCTGTGCCTCCAGCACCCACCCGGGGCCTCGTATGCAGTAGGTGCTCCATAAGTACTTCTTCTTCTTCTTTTTTTTTTAAAGATTTTATTTATTTATTCATAATAGTCTCACACACACACACACAGAGAGAGGCAGAGACACAGGCAGAGGGAGAAGCAGGCTCCATGCAGGGAGCCCGACCTGGGACTCGATCCCGGGTCTCCAGGATTGCGCCCTGGGCCAAAGGCAGGCGCCAAACCGCTGCGCCACCCAGGGATCCCCTTCTTTTTTTTTTTTTTCATAAGTACTTCTTGAGCACTGTGCTGTGACCTCACACAGCAGCAGCCAGAGATCTCCAGAAACATGAACCATGCTGGGTCACACTCGGTACTTAGAATAAAGCCCAAGTTTCTCCCCAAAAGACCTGCCCAGGCAGGCCCCTGCTCACTTCTGACTTCATCCTGACCCGTGTTCCTCCTCACACAGCATCCTTTCCATCCCATCCACTCCCTGCCACAGGGGCTTTGCACATGTGGTTCCCTCTGGTCTTAAGAATTTTAGATCTTCACTCCGTGACTCCTTCTCATTATTGGGGTCACCTCTAAGGGTCCTCCTCGACTGCCCTATAGGCAATAACTGTCCTCTCTACCCCCAATATTCCATTAGAATACTCAGGCATGTCTAAGAATTTCCTTGATTTCTGTCCCCCAACTAGACAGTGGTTCCATGAGGGCTAGGTAGTGGTTCCTGTCTGCCTCTTATGCTGTGCCCTCAGAGCCTAGCACAGAATATACCGTACAGACCGAAGCACTGGTCACCCGTTGAATGAATGCGCGCAGGAAAGCCTGCTGGGGGTCACCAGCCAGTCATGCCATGTCTGCAAGTAGGGGCTGTGGCCCTCTGGGAACCAACTGGCTGTGCCACGTCCTGCAGATGAAGCTGCTGCCCTTCCGGCAGAAGAAGGCCCACATCATGGAGATCCAGCTGAACGGAGGCACGGTGGCTGAGAAGGTGGCCTGGGCCCAGGCTCGGCTAGAGAAGCAGGTGCCGGTGCACAGTGTGTTCAGCCAGAACGAGGTCATCGATGTCATTGCCGTCACCAAGGGCCGGGGTGTCAAAGGTAGGGCTGGGTGGGGATGGGGGCTTCAGGAAGGCTGCCTGGACGGGGTGGAAGCCACACTGGCCTCTAGCCACTAGCCCTCCCCCCGGCCCTCTGCAGGGGTCACGAGCCGCTGGCATACCAAGAAGCTGCCCCGGAAGACCCACAAGGGGCTGCGCAAGGTGGCCTGCATTGGTGCCTGGCACCCTGCCCGTGTGGGCTGCTCCATTGCTCGGGCTGGGCAGAAGGGCTACCACCACCGCACTGAGCTCAACAAGAAGGTGCGTCCATGGTCCTGCTGGCACAGGGACACTCATGGCCTGATGTCAGGGGGTGGGGTGCATGACCCGGAGGCTGCCAGGCCCCCCTAGAGGCTCTGACATGCCCCTGCCCAGGCCTGGGTCTGAGCACACATGCTGGCGGGTGTAGACAGAGCACCTGCTGCAGAGGCCACAGCTGCCTGCAACATGCCCCGTCCTCCTGGCAGATCTACCGCATTGGCCGGGGGCTGCACATGGAGGAGGGGAAGGTGGTCAAGAACAACGCAGCCACCAGCTACGACGTGACCGACAAGTCCATTACACCTCTGGTAAGCGGGGGTGGCGTGCACGTGTGCGGCAGGCGTGTGGGGTGCTGCCCCACCCCAGGAGCTCAGGCACCAGGGAGCGGCCACTTGGGTGAACACTGAGTGCTGTTCCCACATCCTCCGAGCCTCCTGTGTGCACACCACTTACCACTTACACCGGGTGCTGTCATGGGGTGTGGAGTACCTTGGACTCAGGCCACGGGGTTCCAACCCCAGCTGGTCTGCAGCAGCCACAGGGCCCGGAACAAGGGACCTGACTTCCTGGAGCCTCAGTTTCTCCCTCACTGAAGTGTAGATTGTTAAATGTGGCTCAGATGCCGCCCTGGTTAGTGATCCCGGGTGTGGCCCTAGGCCAGGGGCTGGCACCAGCCACCAGGGCCTGGATCCTGACCCACCTCCCGGCAGGGCGGCTTCCCCCACTACGGCGAAGTCAACAACGACTTCGTTATGCTGAAGGGTTGCATCGCGGGCACCAAAAAGCGGGTCATCACCCTGAGGAAGGTCAGTGCCTCTGTGGGGGGCTGGGAGGCAGCCTGCCCTGTCCTGTGCCTTGCTCCGAGGACGGTGGGGGTGGGAGGGGTCCCGGCAGGAGCTGCGGGAGGGGCTGGGGTGGCGGGAGGCGGCGGTTGAGGACCTGCATCTTGCTCCCCTCTCCCACGGACCCCCCAGTCCCTCCTGGTACACCACAGCCGCCGGGCCCTGGAGAATATCGAGCTCAAGTTCATCGACACCACCTCCAAGTTTGGCCACGGCCGCTTCCAGACAGCCCAAGAGAAGAGGGCCTTCATGGTGAGCCCCGCCCCGGGTTCCCTGGGAGGCGTTCTCCCAGCCGGGAGGCGGCAGCAGGGGCGGGGGCGCCCTAGGACCAGGCGCGCAGGAGTCCAGCCCCCGGTGCTGACTGGGGCAGGGGACGGCAGAGGAGCTGCAGCCGGCCAGGGCCGTTTCCCCGGCTAGCGCTTGTCTGTGCCCCCAACCCCCCATCCAGGGTCCGCAGAAGAAGCATCTGGAAAAGGAAAAGCCGGAGACCTCGAGAGACCTGTAGGCGGCCTGCGATGGAGGGAGCCGGAAGCAGCGCGGCGCCTGTAGCGTCTGTCTAATAAAGTGCAGAGGCCGGCAGCCCAGGGGGCCCAGCGGTTTAGCACCGCCTGCAGCCCGGGGCGTGATCCTGGAGACGCGGGATCGAGGCCCACGTCGGGCTCGCTGCCTGGAGCCTGCTTCTCCCTTTGCCTGTGTCTCTGCCTCTCTCTGTGTGTGTGTCTCTCATGAATAAATAAATAATATCTTTTAAAAAAAAAAGTGCAGAGGCGACTCTTCTCGCCGGGTCTGGGAGCTGGGAGCGCGGGGCGGCGGGGAGGCGGGGGAGGCGGGGGAGGCGGGGGAGGCGGGGGAGGCGGGGGCGGCGTCTCGGCGTCCGGGACGTGATTGGTCCGCGGGAGGGGCGGGGCCTCGGCGGTGCCGGGCAGGCTCCGGGCGGTGATTGGTCCGCGGGAGGAAGGACCGAGCCCCGGGCGCGGGCCAGGGCCACGGGGTTTAGTGGTCGCGGAGCTGTCCGAGGCGGCGGTCCCCGTGCTGTCCTGCTGGAGCCATGTCCTTCTGCAGCTTCTTCGGGGGCGAGGTTTTCCAGAACCACTTTGAGCCGGGTATGCTCTGTGACCTCCTGGGAGGGCGGCGGGGCGGGAGCGCGCATGAGAGGGGGGGGCGCTGCCCTCCGGTCGGTGCCCTCGGAGCCCCGGAGCGGCAGACCCCTGGGGCGGGGGGCGAGTGTGGCCGCGCGGGCAGGAGTGCACGTGGGTAAAGGGCGCCCCGGAGGAGGGAGGGGCCCGGGGACGTGACGGGAGAGTGGACGCTGGAGAGCGGGGTCGCTGACCTCAAGGAACGCGTGAGCGGGGCGGTCTCCGGGAGGATTGCGGAGTCAGGGCACACGGCAGGGCTGCCGCCGGTCGGGGGGGCTTCTGGATTGGGATCTGGACTTCGGAGGGCCGCGATGGAGGATCTTGTCCAGGGGTTCCCTGATGATAGCCCTGCCCTTTCCCGTCCCTCGTCCCAGCACAGAGTGTCCCCTGCGGACCCAGCAGGCCTGCCCGGGACTTCCGCAGTCGGCCCAGAGCCCTGGGGTTGGGTAACCCGGGCAGGTGCCAAGCCACTAAGTGCCTGTGAAGTTTGACCATACGGCCTGAGTGCAGGTCGGGGGAGTGGGAGTGGTGCAGCATGGACAACCCTCTGCCCTGGTCCCAGGCTTTGAGGCCCTGGCATGTACCCTTCTGGGCTGTGCTGCTTGGTCGTGGACTAATTTGGTAAAAACATGCCCACAGGCAAGACTAAGGCAGTGCTCTCCCTGGGGGGGGGAATCTGTTGGGTGTCAGCCCTCTAGGGGGCTGCGCTGTGACACTGGGCATCTGTCTCTTAGCTGTGACATAGGACTCCCTGGCCAAAGACCTCCCCTGAGGCCTTCTGGCTGTGGGACCCCAGTTGTCATCGGGCTGCTCTGCCAAGCTGGAAGGTCCGCTAACACAGCGGCTCCTCATTCCTCTTTGCTTCCTTCTCCAGTTGCTGGCAAAGGCTGAGTAGTTGGCAGACCTCGGGGAAGGGTGTCCTCAGGCTGGACTGTGGGTGCTGGTACTCTAGGGGGCCCCAAGCGATTACCTGTGCTGCAAGTCAGTTTTACAACCTTTTAAATCCTTCCTCAAAGTGATCTTTTGGGGATAGGTTAAAACCTCTTCCCTAGCTCTCTCTCTTCCTGGGCCTTTTGTCTGGCGTGCAGACTGTTTTTTGGGGACCATTCTCTTCCCATGTGGAGAGCAGGCCAGTGGCTGGGAGTACAGCTCAAGGCTTCACTGGGCATCAGGAATGGCCACTTGGGAGAGGAGAGGGGCTGGGCCCTCATCGGGCTGCTGGACTCCTTCCTGACTGCACACTCTGCAGTGGAGTGTTCTGCATCACTCACTTCCTTATCTCTAAAATGGAGAAGTCGTCTTAAAAAAAAAAATGAAAAAGGAGTGCCTGGCTGGCTCAGCTGGTAGTGCCCGTGACTCTTGGTCTCTGGGTCATGAGTGCAAGGCCCGTGTTGGGCGTGGGACTCTACTTAAACAAAACGATGAAGCTAGATGGAAAGGTGTGCATCACAGGACTAAAGACACGAGTCAATGAGATAAGTGAAAAGTGGCTCCCTGGGCGCTGGCGGGTGCTAGGACCACTGGACGTGAGCTCTGTGGTGTGTTCCCCACAGAGCCAGTACCCAGGCCTGAGGGGGCGGCATGGGGAGGACCTTCCTAGGCCCGAGTATTTGGGAGCTCACCCCAGAGAGGCTGGAGCCACTGTAACCCTTTCCCTTTCCTTCTGCTCCCAGGTGTCTATGTGTGCGCCAAATGTGGCCACGAGCTCTTCTCCAGCCGCTCAAAGTACGCACACTCATCCCCGTGGCCCGCCTTCACGGAGACCATTCATGCAGATAGTGTGGCCAAGCGTCCAGAGCGCAATTCGCCTGAAGCTTTAAAGGTGGGTGGCAGCAGCAGGGGGTGGTGAGGGGTGCTGGCCAGGGGGGGCCTGAGGGCTCCCCACAGCTCTAGGGGCTTAGAGCCGGTCTATCCCAGGCCTCTGGCCTCAGCCAGGTGAACTGCTAGCCCAAACTCCTGGGAGAGCCTGGGGTCCTGACGGAAGCAGGGAAATAGGACCGCTTTCCTGTGTGACTCCAGGAAGGGGGTCGGCCTCTCCCGCCAGCCGTGACTTCGGGAAATGGGTGTGGGAGGACACCATCTGCTGGGGACTGGGGGGCCACTGTGCGCTTGTTTTGTGGTCTTGCCAGGTGTCCTGCGGCAAGTGTGGGAATGGGCTGGGCCACGAGTTCCTGAATGACGGCCCCAAGCCGGGGCAGTCCCGCTTCTGAATATTCAGCAGCTCACTGAAGTTCATCCCGAAAGGTGAGCTCTCCTTCTGGCAGCTGGACACAGGCCTGCTGTACATTTTTGAGGCCCAGGGGTGGGAGACACACTGTTCCATCCATTCACAGTTGCACACATGAAACATAGAGGCCCCAAAGCATACAGCCCAGGAGCTGCCCAGGGCAACCCCAAAAGGACAAGGGGGCAGGGGTCCTGACTGGCCATGTGTGCCCCCACAGAGGGGCATCTGAGGGTGGATGTGGCAAAGGGTTATCCATGGGGGCCTGGCCCTTGCTGGAGACTAGAGGGGCAGGCAGGGCCTACAGAGGCTGAGCACCGGGGCTGGGGCTGGAGCTGGAGCCTCTCTGAGCAGGGCTCCTCTGCAGAGTGGGCGTGCTTGCAGAGCCTCCTTCACTGGCCTGTCTGATGTGGCACACGTGGGGCCTGGCAGGCAGCAAGTGCTCAGATGGGTGCTCCCGGGGGCAGTTACAGGCTTCTCCCACTCTCTGCAAGCACGGAGCACTCCTATGAAACTTTTCGTAAGCCAGAAATGGTGTAAAGCGAAGAGCATCTCCCACTTTCTGAAAGCTTTCGTGGTGCCACTTCTCTTTTACTAAAGACCTTGTACGTCAGTTCCTGCTTTCACTAAGTGAAATAAATCCAAAGAGGATTTTCACTTGCAATAAAAGCCATTACCTGACTAACATAGGTAATGTGCATGTAGCATAAATGAAATGTAAAGGCAAGGTGGCCTAAGTCAATCTTTGGGAAAGCAGGGCTCCGAGTGCTGCCAGGTTGTTTGGGCAGCCGTTGCTCATGCGAGTTTTATCTGCGCGCGGCATCCCCTATGGTCCTTAGCCCTCCGCTCACCCAGGTGCTCACGAGTCAGCACGTCTCTCGGCCCACCCGGCCCCTCTGGGCTCCTCCCCACACTTTGTAGCTCAAAGCCCAGATCCCCACTTGCCCCCGGCAGGACCGTGGCCAGTGGCTGACCTCAGCTTGGTCCTTTGTGAAATGGGGTTGCTGACCGCACATGCTGGCTGCCATCTGTGAGGACTAGGGGCTAAGTGAGGGTGTCTGTGGGGCCAGCAATGATAGGGTGTGACGTGATTTTGTCCTTTTGTAGTTACTGTTCTTTGTCCTGTGGAGGAAGGAGAGACTGGGCTCTCCTGGAGATCTCAGGGAGCCATATGGGGCACACAGACTCCCCCAAGCCCAGTGCCTGGGTCCTCCTGACCACCCTGTTCCTCAGGCTGGAGCGGGCTGGACTGCTCAGGGAATGGCGGCTGAATTGTAATGTAGCAGTGACTTGTTTTTCTCTCTCCTCCCTCCTTTTTTTTAGGCAAAGGAACTTCTGGCTCTCAGGAGGCGTAGGTGGACAGCACATACCCATTCCAGCTGGCACTGCCCTCCAGCCATCCCACCTTGGAACTGGAACCCTAGACATTGAGACAGGGGAGGGGGCTCCTGAAGCATCGGGAAATCTTGGCTCTGTGCAGGTTCTCTTGGGGGAAAGCACTGCTAGCCCAGGATGGGCCTGCTGGGCCCAGCTGTGGGCTTACCTTGGCCTCCTGCTCCCATGGAAGGCTCAAGGAGGTAGGCTCTCAGCCTAGCTCACCTTTGAATGATGGCACACCCCACCTTTTTTTCTCCACAGCCCACTGCCCTGTCTGGACTCACCCTGTGGGACCCGATTCTGAGATGGGCTCTGGCCCTCACCCAAGCTCGTGCTCCCCCCCCACCGCTCCAGGCTATCCTGGGAGCCAGAATGCCAAGGGGGCAGCCGTTTTTGGCTGCTGCAGCTGCAGTCACTACATGATTCACTCTGGTTAAACCCTTCCAGGCAGCCAGAGTGGTGATGATCTGTGACCTGCTAGAGGAACAGGCCAAGGGGACAGACCTGTGATGTGTCAGTTACGGGAAGAGAAATCCTAAACCCTGTTTCACAATCTGGGTTGGTACACCTTGCCTCACTCAGGCTTAGGAAAGTGGGTGTTGCTCCATTACCTTGATTGTGCAAGGCCAGGGCTGGGGAGCTCACACCTTCCCAGGAGTGTGGCTGTGCCTTCTTGCACACGCTTGGAAGCTCCTGCTGCCTGGGAGGGTGGGTGACACCAAAGCCCCTCCCATCTTCACTCTTCTCTGGCATCATCAGGAGATAATAAACAAATGGACCGCGGGCTTGCTGTCTTCATGCATGTAGGGGAGGCCGGGACACATTGTTTCATTGTTCCACAGATATTTACTGAGGTGGGTCCAGCCTGGTGCTGGGGATGCAGCCATAGGACAGACGGGCCCCCCTGCCCCTCAGGGTCTTCTGGTGTGTTTGAGAGGATGGAAAGTTCACGTCAGATGATGGTAAAGGCTGTGAATATCTACAGCAGGGCAGTGATGCTGGATTGTGGGGGG